AGATATACAAATTATAAATGATGCAGATATACCAATTATAAACGAGGCAGATATACCAATTATAAATGATGCAGATATACCAATCATAAATGATGCAGATATACCAATCATAAATGATGCAGATATACCAATTATAAATTATGAAGATATACCAATTATAAATGATGAAGATATACAAATTATAAATGATGCAGATATACCAATTATAAACGAGGCAGATATACCAATTATAAATGATGCAGATATACCAATTATAAATTATGAAGATATACCAATTATAAATGATGAAGATATACCAATTATAAATGAGGCAGATATACCAATTATAATGATGAAAATATAATAATTATAAATGATGCAGATATACCGATCATAAATGATGCAGATATACCAATTATAAATGAACAAACAAAAACTCCATGATATCACAGCCCTCATTCACACAAATGCTTTGCATTCTGGGTTATTTACTTCGGTAACTTTCTAACAGTCAAATGGTCAAGTTCGGACACAGTTTTATTTATCCTGAGTTGTTAAGTATTAATAGTCATTCCATGTAAGTCATTAATTACTCTGATATATACATCTGTTCCATTCACGTTTGGGGTTGTTTTATTATTTTTTGTTCCATATAGGTTGATAAACTGTAAGTGTATCATTGAGGTCAGCATGTTAAATCGGTAAACTGTTAATCAGTCTGGTTAATCGACTGTGTGTATAACACTAAGCCGGTTAAAATGTATTAGAACGTATTTGGAAAAATAAATTGGTCGCGCGGCTGTGCCGCGCCTGACCAATTTTTGTGAATACGTACTAATAAATTTTAACATATACATAGTTTACCAACACTACAAGTTATTTCGACTGAATCGCCGGTCAGTATTTTGGTGAACACAAGTATGATATTTCTAAAATCTTTATGATAGATTCTTTTTGCATTCTTTCACATGATCTTTTTGACTCAAACATTTTTTTTTCTTAAATTTTCACGCAAGTACAAATTGCCCTGATTCTAATTAAGTTGCTCATAAAAAGTTAAAGTTGTTGTTGTTGTTGGTGCAGGTACTTTTTTTAGTGTTGAACTAAGCTACTAAGTATATCACAAGCTCTCTTCACGATTGAGTTGCAAAATTATTGTAACAACTATATTAAATAGCCTTTATACATCTCGAGTTTTTTTTTATTATTCATTTTTTTTTTTTTTTATTTTATTTATTTATTTATTTATTTATTTATTTATTTATTTATTTATTTATTTATTTATTTATTTATTTAAATTGTGCAATAGAGAATTTAAAACACTAAAAAAAATAAAGGATTAATGTATATCAATAACAGTGAACTATAAATTCCATACTCAGTAAAGAAAACGCAGTCAGCACGTGGTTGTCTTCCCTAGCAGCTCAGATGAAACTGCATTTGGTCCACAAACCCCGTGCGAGTTCGAGTCCTGCCTGAGCGTGGTCCATACTTTCCCGTAATAATCTTGCTGGTTGCTTTAATCTTTTGTTATTCGTCCTCTTTCGCTGCGTTAATAATCTATGGTCAAAAAGTGATAGGTACTTTAGAACAGGGTTTTTTAAATAGAAAACACTGTTGAGAACAAATAAGTACTGGTTTTGATTCTAGATACATGTATTATACAGGTGTCCGTCTGTATTAAAGTAACCTGAATAATGATTTAAGTTTTGATTTTAGCAAAGTGGCAAAATTCTTTCGTGGGCTATTAACAGTATATTGTAAGAAATGGCAAAATCATACAAGATTTCTATTAAGAATTGACAAAATTTTACATATACGAATAAACTTAAAGACATCCATCTGTGTGACAGACAGACAGACAGACAGACAGACAGACAGACAGACAGACAGACAGACGATTTACCTCGATAATTTCATAGTATGAAAAAAAGAAGAAAAGTATAAGGAATAAGAACCGAAAAAAGGAAATAAAAGAAAAAGTTAATCTTACGATGAAATGTACCAAAATAAAACAAAGCATGTTAAGGCATAAGCAACCTTTATGGTATTATATATATTCATAAACATATGTCTCCATTCAGGTAGATCCCTAAAAAAGTAAAAATGTCATGTTTAAAAATTAGAGATTTTAATTCCCTTTTTGTTTTTTATTTTTGTTTTTTCTTATATTTTATGCATTCAGCAACTTCACGATGGTTGATAAGAATATAGTGTAGGAAAATAAAGATAAAAAGATGTCAGTTTATTTAAATGGATTGATAATATCAGTCTGAACACAGCCGAACCGTGAAAAAGATGAAAACCAAGTGCTTTTTGTACACTAAAATGACAGTCACTAAATTACGAACAGTAACGTAATTCGGTCAGTTCGACTTTCGGTTACAACTGTAAATAAAGAATAATTTTGATGGGACGTTTCAATAATGATGTAATATCCAGACAAATTATCTCGGACTGTTTGATTTTATAGTATAAAAAGTGATGTTCTAGTGCAACAACATTTATTTTTTCTGGAGAGTTAAAAAAAATCGCATCGGACGCTGTATCGTAGTTTCAAGTTATCAATATATATATTTGAAATTTAGTTAAATAAGGAATTATAGTTTTGTTGTTATTGGAATTGATATATCGGACGCCATATATAAATTTTAAAGCGAGATGCTTGCTACCAGAATCCACAATGAAGGTAGAAAATCGGAGAGAAAGTTTGGTAATTAGGTTTACTGTTTTCCACCTATCGTTTAATTTCTTTTGAAATATATATTTGTATATCTATAAGACATTGACTCACAATGTACTAGGAGCAGTGGCATGATTATAAGATAAATATAGGCATATTCAGTAATTTTTTTAATATTCAAACTTTTTTTTAATATAACTTTTTGTTTTGTATTGTATCAATAAAATCTACAAATTATTATAAGCGTACGCATAATCGTTTTCATGGCCATTACATGGCTGCATACCTCCATATAAGCAAAGATATTTCAAGAAAATCGACCTTGAGAAAATGTTCAAGTAAAAGTATTAACAATGTAAGAATAGCATGTTATTTGCAACAAATGACTGATTTTTTTAAATAATTGAAATATTTATGGAAACTGTGCCCAGTGTAGACCTATTCCTCTCAAATTAAAAATGGTTCATTTCGTTGTCTGCTTTTTTTCCATCATAACCACATCCGGTTGTATAGATTGTTCTAATCGGTAAATAGCAAACTGGTATTTTCTTCAGGATTGTTTATTGTACTTTCCTGGAAGGGGATGTGGATTTTACCCATTCTTTGAAAAAAAATATTTATTTGTGTTGTATTTCATTTTCTTCGCGACCTAAATCATTACGCGGAACATGTTTTAGACATGACTTTAGTACAAATATAAGTTACCTATTTAAAATTTTGTAAACTATTTTTCGCTTTTAAATTTATAAATTTTGTAACATTTGCTTTGATCTATAGTTTTCTATTCGACATTTCACGCACTGAAAACTTTACTATCATAAATAATGATAAAACATCTTCATTTTTACGATTTTAAAATTTCTGTTGTAACTTTTTGTTGTTTAACAAACATCTGACATGTCTTACACGCCCCATTAAACAGATTAGTTAAAGGAACTCCACCGAGGTCAAAAAAGTATAAACCAATAAAATTTTAAGTTTTTAATACATATGATCGACTAGACATTTAAAACAGAAAGATATGCAAAATTAATAATTAAATAAATAATTAAAATATATAATCAAAGCTAAATTGAAAATCGTATTTTTGTGCTATTATTAGCCCGATTTGAGTGAAAAGCGTTGCAACGTTTTTTCAATTTTGGGTCTTTTGTCACAATTACAATAAAAATTCTGAAAAATAAAACACACACAGAGCAACTGAATGATCTGAAACTTTGCACACTTATTATTTGTCTAGACCTACATCAAATAGAACATTAATATCGAAAAATTATTTCATGTTCCGTCATATCAAAAAGACCTCAGTGGAGTCTCTTTAATATAAGGCAGTTTTAAGATACTTCAAGTGACATATAAGGGTAGCGGTACCGAAGCCTTGTGGTGTCTGCCACTCCATTCATGGATCGAACCCCTATGGATCACGACTATATGACACCGGTACTCGTTAGGTCCAGTAATCGGACAAGATACTTGTTCTAATCAGTCATAGTCGAGTCTAAATAAATAATGTCTAATAAAAAAATATTCAAATTAAATATCATGAACCTTGTAATGTCTCTTGCATATTTCCACATAAAATGTTTTTTTCTCGTGAAGAAAAGAAAATATTTATAAAATAAAATCATGTCACGAACACGCTTCCGTAAATTATTCGTTCTCAATTATTCATAAGATATCATAGACTTGTCAAAGATCGGAATGGCACTCTAAGCTACTGGGGCTATCCCACTTGTCACGTGGAGTATATAATAAGCCAAAGTGAATTATAGTTACTTTATAAATAGAATCAGACCAATTGTTTGATTAAATGTTCATGTTTATTATTATCTTACATGTACAAATATGCAACATAGTAAAATTTTATATTATGCAAAACTTATTTATAATTTTTTATGTATACATTGTAATTAGTAATTTGTGCATTTTACCTGACTTTAAAAGCTGTGTCTACGGAAAAAAGGGATCGTCAATGCAAAAGAAAAGTAAATAAGCTCAAATTCACATCAGAAAGATTTTTTAAAAAAAAGCTTTTTGGCGGGAAAAAGACGTGTATTCTCAAAGCTATCTCAAAAACGGATCGCTATAGGAAGATAATTACAACACAATCCGTTTTGCCATGGCCCTTACTTCATAAGAGCTAATGGCAGCCATTGTTTAATTTCAGGAGGCGATGGAAGTGGCGCCTTCTTTCGGAATAAAAAGCGCGGGAAGGCAAAAGGCGGACTGACGGGAATGGTGTCTGCAATGATTCCAGGGGCAAAGGTCGACTCCAAAGGTCGGGTTATGGTGAATGTAGCAACGTCAAAAGAAACGCTCACGTTCAATATCGGTGGAGTGCCGTTTGAAACGTATAAGTAAGTATACGTTAATGTAAGTGACGTTATTGACCACGTCATATTTCTCCATCGCGTCAACGATTTTCTTATAAATCCAAGCGTCTCTGAACCATGACACAGCTGTTATAAATATAAATCAAAACTTGTATGCTACAATTCCAACGAACATTTCATATCCCTATGTTAAAATAAAAGAAAAAGTAAGTATTACATGTTCTGTTCTAATGAATTAGTAAATAAAAATTTATTTTAGTTCGATTGTGTTGGAAGCTATGAGCTTATTGAACACTCTCGAATCCGTTCCTGGAACCAACCTGTACTAAGCAATGAGGGTAAAGTTTTTGCTCAAGGAAACAACGGCTTGCCACTGACTGGGTTTGAACCCACGCTGTCAGCAGTCCTTAGAAAACTAGTCCGTTGCGGTCACAACTCGGCCACACCGCCACGATTCTAATGCATTGACATGTTCACAACCTAGCATAGTACTTTTACTATAGTCAGTGGTGAATAAACGTTGAGGTATCTTTTTTTTCAACTCGGGGATCGTGGGTCAGAGTCTGGCTAGGGTCTCGACACCTTTTCCCTATGTGCCAACGTTACTAAGTAGTTCTATGGTGTTATTAGACACGAGAAAGGTTCTAATTACATGTAGCTCCAAACCTTTATTACATCCAAGGTAATATAAATATGTTTTAAGCAAAATCCATTGCACTTTATGATCTAAAATAAAACAAGATTGCCTTTGAGTTCAATTGTAAACTTTTGAACTAATAATTTTAATATTTTTCTACATTCTTTGTTTCAACCAAGAAAACTCACTCAGATTTATCTTTCAGAGTTAAGGCTCATTATGCACCAGAAATGCTTTTATTTTTATTCTTCAAAAACTTTGTATTTTAGGTGTACTTTTTAAAATTGACAATTAGTTTGCATTGCTGCATGGTAGTAAAAATTAAATTTTCTTATCTAAATGAGATAAATGATAATATATATTCGTCAAGAACTAATAGATTCCTTTTCATGTTACCATGGTAACGTTCACGGATATTTTATACTTGCAGATCAACGCTGTTCCGTTTACCGAACAGCCCATTAGCCAACTGGAAATTCCTCGAGGAGCATTACCGACCGGAAAAGAAGGATTACTTTTTTGACAGGGACCCTGATGTTTTCCGAGTATGTTTTTATTCTATCATTTTAATTAGAGTTATGATTGATACTTTATTGCCAAATTTAAATAGCATTTTAATCTTTCTACCCTATCATACACGTGATATCAAAACATTAGACTGATAGGCCATTAGCAATGTGCTATGGAAACATTTGAAAGAAAACGTTACAAAAAACGTTTGTTATTCTAGTAAAATATTGCCGCCTCGGCCTTTTCAAAATTTTATGCCATCATTAAACAAACTTTGAATCAAGTTTTGTAATGTTTGTTTGTTTAGATATAAACACAATAAAATTTTATAGGCATGCTCTATTTAAGAGGGTAGCGTAAATGATAACAAAATACGCATTAAAACATATAAAAACACCAAAATGTGATAAAGAAGTCCCGAGGGCAATCTCTTACGGTTTGTCTGACATCCCATCTAAATAAGTAAAGTTTATCTTTGACTATCTAAACTACATGTAGTTTATGGGATGCGGGACATAAGTTTTAAGTTCACACTCATAGTTGAAGGACAGGGCAAGCGGCGCCTAAATTAGCCTAACCTTTCTCTCAATAAGGTCAAAATTAACAGTTTTGTCTTGGTTTGCTTAAAGATATTTTTTCGGTTATTTTTATGGCACTTTTAATGGTTTTGCTACGAAATAATTTCTTATTTCCATTGTAACTCGAAATTGAATTTTCTTAAATACATTATCATCATTATTGTTAAATGTGTGGAAAACTCGTCTGCTCTCTTATAGTTAACATAGCAACTAGTCATTTAAGAGAGAGAGAGAGAGAAAAAAAATAGCCACTTTGTGCACATTCATGTTGGTTCGTGTAAATTTAGTTACAAAAATATTTTGACTTATCTCCACTGGCTTGACAAATAAACGTCGAATATTTAATGTATAAAATGCTTTCAAATGGATTGCGTTATTTACTTTCACAATGATAAATCTGTTACAATATATCTTTGCTTTCATGCTTTCTTCTTCTTCATCTTCTTTTTCTACTACTTCTAATACTACTGCTTCTTCTATTTGGCTACGACTACTTGCTACTGCCACTGCCATTGCCACCACCACCGCCACTACTACTACTATTACAGCTACCACTAGCGCCACCACCACTAACACCAGTATTACCAACATCATTACCACCACCACTACCAATTCTACTTCTAACCTTATTCTTTTCTTATCATAATTAATCTTCTACTTTTGATACATAACAGTGTTTAATTTTTCTGACACGTTAAAGCACAAACAGTCACCAGACCGTATCTTAAAATCAAATCTCATTTCATTTCTATACGGATTGTTTTTTCAGGCTACACTGAACTATCTTCGAACAGGGGAACTCCATATACCGTCTTACATCTGTGGTCCGGCCGCAAAGAATGAACTAGAATTTTGGGGTGTGAAACCTAATAAAATTGAAAAGTGCTGCTGGACCAATTATAACGACTGGAATTCCACACTTGAGGCCCTAAATCAGGTCAGAACAATATTATAATCAGAAATCTAAAAATAAAAATAAAAACGTTGATATTTTAGATGTTCGCTTTTATTAAATACCACTTATGCTGGTCTAAATGCATAAAAAGTTATTGTCCTAATATTGAGCTTGATATTGCGTAATGAAAGACTCCGGTTCTAATCATTTTCAGTGTCAATAAAATATGTTTTGATTCGTTTATTAATAGTTGTATATGTGTTGTACCAATTATAAGAAATTTTTCAAACGACAAAATATCAAAGCACAACGTACCATGAATTATTCGTAATCTTATAGTTGTCTCCCTTGACATTTATCGCATACGGTACCTACAATGACATAAATCTTTCTTCAAAATGCACACATTACTAAGTCATTATAACATTTATTATCATTTGATTGCGATGTTTGAAATATAAATTTAAATTTAAGTAGATCTAACGTGTCTTGAATTGTTATTTTTTAGCTTGAGCACGACAGGAAAGGGTCATTACTTACCCTCGAAGTTGACAAGCACAAGGAAAAAACATGGTGGAACTTAAATCAACCAAGAATATGGAACTTCTTGAACAACCCTGATATTTCGCTTCAAGCTAAACTGTTTGGCTTTGTATCTTTATTATTCGTCATCTTGTCCATCTTCTCATTCGTGGCCGGAACGACGCCGAGTTTCCAGAATATCGAAATCGCCCAGTCTACCGGTGTCATCGCCAATATCACCAACAACGAAACTACCCCAAACATCACAACCGGAAGTACTGATTCCGCTTCCGGAAGATCATCTAAAAATACACATCCCGCGCTTTATATCATTGATATAATATGCCTTGTATATTTTACCATTGAGTATATACTTAGATTTGTCTTTGCACCGAAGAAGCTGCAGTTTATGACGTCACTGATGGGCGTAATTGATTTGATAGCGATTCTTCCAGATTACATTGAAATGATTGTGTATGCGGCTAATCCAGACATTAGTAGCAGCTCCAGTGTAGTTGGTTTCATTACTATCTTCCGGATCGTACGTGTTTTGAGGATATTTCGTCTGATCAAACACGTGCCTGGACTCTGGATCCTCGTGTACACGTTGAAAGCCAGCATTGGCGAGCTCGTACTTCTCACGTGTTTCATGTTGGTTGGCATACTTTTGTTCTCATCACTCATTTATTTTGTCGAAGAACGCGCAGACTTTGAAAGCATTCCCGAGGCGTTTTGGTGGGCTTTGATCACCATGACAACCGTTGGTTACGGTGACATGTATCCAAAATCAACTCTAGGAAAATTAGTCGGGTCTATATGTGCTATGTCCGGTCTACTTATGATTGGATTTTCGGTCCCCGCACTTGTCAACAATTTCATGCTTTATTACAAACACGTACAATTTGCCCTCCAAGCCGAGAAAGAACAGTCGGAATCAAAAAATGGCGGTGAAGACAGCGAAAGTTCCTCGCGCAAAAATTCTGCGAATCAAGACAAAGACTTTTTTTCGAAAAAAGAACCGGAAATGTTTCCACAAGAGAATACAGACAGGGACGCTAATGACAATAAGCGAGAAAGCTGTCCTTTGGTGTCTATTCAAGTTGAAGATGAAGACGGAAATGTCGTCTGTCCAAATAATGGCGTCGCATAATGGCGTCGTAACTGAATATATAGAGGACATTCAAGTTTTTCTATAAATACAGGACTTATTTTTCATGACTGGCAGTAGCCACGAGTGAAATATGATAATTTTCCTACGAGATGAAAATAAATCCTGTATTTATAGAAAAAACTTGAATTTTCTGTTTATAACATACAATTTGAAAGAACCTTAAAATTTTGTGAACTGGCAGAATTTAAAAGAATTTAAAAAGTCCGGCAAGACACCAGTAAAATTACGGAAAATATGTTTCACTGCAGTTAAAGATATATTTTTTACAATGAAAATACGGAAAATGAAACTACGCATTTTATTTCATCAATATTTTTCAATACTTCATTTATTCATTTATAAGTATGAGAAATTCTTTTACTCGCACGTATTCGTGTTCATTTAGACCTCTATATTTTTTTTATAATAGTATATCCTATACATACAAATATCGATCTTATATTTGTCTATGCAAATGAACATATTTTATCAAACAAAAATAGAGCTAATTATCAGTTGATATATTTTTGTATAATCTCAGTGGAATGTATCATTTTACAGTATTAGTGTTCTTTATATATACATGTTGACCTAATTTTGTGTCATGCTGATTTGGATACCCACGATTGGTTAATTAACTATATTAGTTAAATATGTATGCAAGTATACATTACATATCAGATAAATGAATTATGTTTATCAAACATGTAAATTGTGTTCATACATGATATATACTGTAGTAACTAGACTTATTATAACCCTTTTAAATGTTGTTTAAAAATATTTGTATAATTAAATTGACGATGACGTCATGTGAATTAATAAGATAACCTCGTGTGATATGTTTATCCAACATGTACATTGTGTTCATATACATGTATGTACTGTAGTAGCTAGATTTAGTATAACCCTTTTTAATGATGTTTAAAAATATTTGTATAATTGGATTGGTGATGATGTGTGAATTAATGAGATGACCCCATAATGACGTCATGTGTTAGCTGGCCCTTTTCATTTTCTATTTAAGTATTGAATCCACAGACACTCGGGCATTTAGACTGTGACCACCACCTTGCTCATGCAGCCTTTGTGTATTCACAGTAGGTTTTAACGTTTAAATACTGGTGGGACATCTGCTTCAATTTTAACTTGGTTTGTATCAATTTCCACCTATTTTTTTAAAGTACCTGGTGTCTGACATTCAAATGTCTATGATTGAATCATAGGTCGCACAATGCTATAACATGTATTGCTTAATGGTTGAAATTAAGTTCTGATCATTTTTTTTTTTTCTTCAATTTTTTTGATGAATTGCAGCAACTTGTTAAGTTAATAAATTCTACCTCATTAAATTAGTGCATCATACTCAGATGTTGAATACGATAAAACGATTGGAGATATGTATTTCTTCAGTTTAAAATGAATAATTTTATATGAATACATTGACTGACGTCCATTACGTTTCTTTCTAGATATTACGTCATTTTATTGCATCTAAATTCGCATGCGCTCTGATGCATTTTATGTCTATTTTTCATATTTTGGATATCTTTTTTCGTGATTCTGCCTTGTAAAAAGTTCTGACGGTTAAAAAAGTAAAATTCAGTTTTATATGAAGTCAGATTTTTTTCAATTAGATCATAATCAAATTAGGCTGATAAACCCATGATGATACAATAAGATAACGAACCGAGCCAATGTTCATATTGAAATTATTATTATCATAATAAAATCACGACAGTATTGGACATGGCCATGGTATGATGTTTTTGCTTCATTATTTACGTAGTAAATGTCATGAAAATTGACTGTTCTTTTTTATTTATAATTATGATAAGAGAATACTCAAAATCCAATATGTTTTACGTACATGTATAATACATATCTTAAATAAATACTATGCAATTATAAATGCATTAATTTTTTAGATGGTCATACGTTTTTTACACAGTTGCTCCCCTTTGTAGTATTCAGTCCTATGTTTACGATTCAGGGATCTGTAAAATAATTATATTTAATAATTATGCAAAGCTGTTGTTTGCTTTGGAGGGGAATGTGGGGAGATGGGGAATTGGGCGAGGTCTGTATTCCCATAAATAAATTGTATGTACATAATTTTAGAGAAATATGTGTGTGTGTGCGTGTGTGTGTGCGTGCGTGCGTGCGTGCGCGCGCGCGCGTGTGTGTCATTTTTGCATTGTAATATAATTTTATGTAACAAATATAGTTACAGACTGACATGTATAAATTAGTAAATAAAACATGTTAAACAGTTTGCGAGTTGACATCATTTCTTGTTTGTAACACATTTATCACCAGTATCCATATACATGTATCTATAGATTTAACAAAAACATGACTTACGCCGGCTAATGCATCGAGTAGGAATTCAAATCTTTGCAATAGGAATAGTAATAAGTAGTCCATGTAGCTTTGGCTGACAAAATATTTGAAAAGTGAAGAAAAAAGACCAATTTTTGTTTCCCCGGCAAACAACATTTCAATAACTTGACGATCGATTATCTCCCCTATTTCGAAGTTTTTATTGCCATTTCGCGTAGTAGTTTCCAGGGACACATGTATCATCATATCAGTTGGCTTATTGTTTGGTTTATTTACCGAAATTTTTTCTCAATTAAAATTAACGCAAAAAGTATAAAGACATATTTGCTAGTTTTTTGTGCGCATCCTAGTGTCTTAAATTACATAAATTTAAACGACCTACGTTCAATAACGTCCATGTACCGATAATTTTTTCATGTATGAGCAATCTTAAAAGATCATGTAACTATGAGTCAATAATATATATTCTCCCTAACAGATGCTACACGTAAACCCGACCCAACATTTACACAGATTATCTCCGTGTTTTATTCGATAATTATTGGTCGCCATAATAGTATGGACGCAGATGTTACTTCCGCTCCAACTGAGCATGCGCAAATCGATGTCCTGTTTAATCAAAATGGCAGCTAGATGCATGATGTGGACTTTCCGAATTTTTGTCTATATCTCAGTGTTGAAATTATCGTTTTGTTTTAGAAATTTTCAAGTGGACGAATGTAAGTATTCTAAGAGAAACGTTGATGTTCTCATTTGTCTGTTACGTTTACAAAATAGATTTATAACTTACAAAATTTACTTATAGCTATCATAAAAGTATGAAAAAATGAAAAAGCTCTATATATTACATCTCATTTAATAAAGAAAAAATAATTATAAAGCAGTAGTATTCTTTTTCTTCCATATTTTTTATGTATGCGGGGATATTAAATGAATTTTAGCTGCCAAATATGCGACAGAACAAATTGTAGATTTATATAGAATGTTAAAAAAAACTTCAAACTAAATAAAATGAACATATCTTCAATGAAAACTTTTTTGCTTTGGAATCAAGTGAGGATTTCATGATTATTTATATGGCTGATTACACAACAAAATTTACACACTTGTTAACTTTCGATTCCAGTGTTAAAAGGACACTATGATTTCAAGGATGCAATGCGCCAGCAATTAGGGGGTAAATTTTCTATAGGTAAGATTTAAAATAGCATGTATAGTCACAAGGTATAAAGTATAACATATAGCAGAAATCTAGACAAAAATGTCTTTCAAATAATTAAAATTCTATAGGTTTTAGAAATGTCACTAATTAATAAGTAAGGACGTCATACTTAAAAGAGGAGAGGAAAGTTTGAGCTATTCTAGGGACACGCCACGTCAGAAGTACTGCATCATTATTCGAACGAACTTAAGAATGATTCATAATAATCCAGCTGATCTAAATACATGTATATATAACGTAACGAGTCATATTTAACCGGAAGTGGTCATATTCCCTATTTTTCGTATTGAACATTCGTTTTGTTACATTTTCGGTTATATATTCAATAAAGGGTGTTTAACATTTACTCTGTTGACGGAAAAGAATTTTACCCATTCGACCTGTGTCGTCTGAATATTGGTTGCACGGTTGGAACTCCTGTCAATACATATTTTGAAAATTCCCCTAAAATGATAAATGGTTTTATCCAGATTGAACGATGTACAAGTCTATTTAAGATATTTCGCGTGGATAGTTTACACTCACTCTTCAACGAGCTTAAATGTCGTCTGCGTATTATAAACTTGTTTAAACCAAAGAAGCGGCAGTTGTTTCAACTGTTTGACATACGTGTTTTTTAAAGTACAATTTTCATGGATGAAAACAAAAAATCTTGTTACAGGAATAAATGATCCGAAATCGTACACTGGAGAATACCCTGTAAGGGGAACAGAAGTGAGACCATTCTACATGGACATTTATCCCGTCACTATGGCACAGTTTTGGTAAAAAAATATATTTATTGATACTTATTTTAATTAATTCCTATTTCCAATCATATACATGTCTTCTTTTGTGGTATTTATTAAAATGAAGAGCCTGAAAAGGGAATCTATTTATGCTTAATGCAGATCAGGAGGTTAAACTTTTGTTAACTTCTATAAAGAATTTTGGGGGGGTGGACAAGTCTTAAGAATTTATGAAACATATCAGGGGGAGTAACTTTTGTTAACTTCTATTTAGCATATCAGGTATTTAACCCTTGTAATACTGTTGAACTATTGAAGAAATCAAAAGTGTAAATGTATAAAAACTACATGTCACAAATACAAATTTATGTTCTAATCAGAGATACAATTAAGCGTCACGTACGATATTCTTAACTGTAAATAATGTCAATTAAGATTGTATTTATTCAAGAGCGATAACTCTAGGTTCTAATTAATTGTTATTTGTCTTTCTTAAGCAATAACTTTGTCAATACTTCTCAAGTTTCATTTTTATATAATGTCTCAATATTAGCTTATTAAGGCACTTGGTTCATTTCTTGTAAAACACTTGTATTATGACTAGATCTCTGCTTTGAGCCTATTACTACTTTAAACGTGCAGACTGTGCCTATTTCTACTTTAACTATGCAGACTAGGCAAATTACTAGTTTTAATTAGCAGATTAGGCCTTTTTCTACTTTAAATTTGCAGACTAGGCCTATTACTAATTTAAATATATGCAGACTATGCCAATCATGTACAAAGACATTGCGGTATTGTTCTGTGACATGACTAAGTTATCAAAATGTATTACTAGTAACAATATTTAACCATTTGGAAAACAGGAAGTTTAAAATACAAAAGAAGAAATATATAACAACAGCTGAGAAGAAAGGTTATAGTTTTGTATTGGCAAACCTTGTAAGTGATCACGTGAAAACCACGTGGAGTGCCGAATCAGCTGACCCATGGTGGCTAGCAGTGAAAGGTGCGCAATGGGATAGGGTAAGATATTTTTTATGTTTACTGGTATATTCATTGTATACAATTAATTTCTATTCATTTCTACACATACAGTAAAACATGTAGACCAAATGTCACCGAAGGATGAAACCTAACATGTCCTTAATAGACAAGTGTTTTTTATCTGGAGGTTACTTTGTTCTCTATAATCATTGAAGGGTTGTCGAGGAAAGGCCTTTATTTATAGGGCGATATTTAATTGCTGGTGGTCTTGAACACATGTTTGACTGTAAATTATTGAAGAAAATTTAATTATATCTTAACCTTAGATGTTTTATCTCCATTAAAAACATTTCTAAGAGAATGCCGCTATTCAGTCAAAAAAGAATAGATATACCCAGTTCCTCGATTCTCCAAAAACGATTTTAGTTTTATTTCTCAAATTTAATTTTTATATTTTGGTGTCCTAATATAGTTTTCAAAAGGTTACTAATTGGTAACATACCTGGAGCATTTTAGCTTCTGATGCTTTTTGGCAATTAAAACTTTATGGTTTTTGTAAGGAAGTAGAAATAATGCTTTGCTTACGTTTTACTCCCTGTATGGCAAATAAACATTTTTCCTGTTTCTGAGACAAATTTGCCTTTAAGGTCTAACATTATTGTAAGCTGAAAGCGAACGGCTCTGGTCCTTCTGGTTTTATCTCATTATTTTTTTTTCATGTATGTTTAATATTTCAATAGCCGGAGGGTCCGGGGTCACATGTACGTGATCGTCTTGACTACCCGGTTGTGCACGTGAGTTACAGAGATGCTAAAGCTTATTGTATGTGGGTGGGGAAACGTCTGCCAACGGAAGAGGAGTGGGAATTTGCTGCTAGAGGTGGACTTAGAGGTAACCATAGCAACTTCTTCTTTTTTATTAGTCTTTGTTGTTGTTTCTATGTTATTTTTGTTGCTGCTGTTGCTGCTGCTGCTGTTATTGTTGTTGTTGATGATGATGTTGTTCTTGTTGAAAACAATGTTTTTATTAAATAATTTAGCTTATACTCTTTGCTGTAAATACTTTGAATCAAATATTAAGATATTAAATGGTTAACAGATGTGTTAGAATGTGATTTTGTTTATAACTTACACGTAAGATCGAGCAAACATTTGATATTTATGAGCTTCATTCCGTAGTAAAATAAAGAACAAAAACTCATAAAATTCAAATTAAGAGCTATTTTTTTTGTTTTTTGAGCTAATTTTGCTTATGGACGTTGGTCCAGGTGGTGTTTATGAGCTGATTTGCCTCATAAATGTCAAAAGTTGGTATGTCCGTACATGTTTATTTTTTGTCCAATCAAAATTTAAGAGGAATCATCTTCTTGCTGTCTGTTTAAAGATTTCAACAATTGTTGAATCTAACTTCAAACAGATAAAAAAAAGTCTAATAAACTGATGATGCGATCCTTTTACTATTGACATTATACACAGGTGTGCAGTACCCATGGGGTGACAGGTACAAAAAGTTTAGGATGAACGTCTGGCATGTATGTTGTTTTATTCTATTTTTATTTAAAGTTTAGTTTAAACATTTTTAATTGTATTTGATTGTAAAGAAAGCTGTGGGTTGATTTCAATATCAGGACCACCCCTCGAGACCGTCTCCTTCAACTAACCAGTACTGGTATAATATGAGGAATATAACTTGTGACCCCTGTATAACTCAAAATTACGGTCCCTGAATTGAGGACCAGACGATAGAATTACTAGACGTACAGCGTCTCTCAAGTTAAACGTTATATTTTTCAATGTAGTTATATTTGTCATGTTCCAAAGTCTATGTCATACATTGTACTTTAGTAGAAAAACAACAAGCATTTAAGTCTTAGCAATGTTTCCACAAAAATTACTTCGCCATAATTAAAGTCCAAGCAAAAAAGTCCACTTTTACTTCTAAGAAAATCAGCATTTTAATATGGACAACATTAGATTTAGACAACGGACACTTTACTATTTAAATATTTTCTGATTCTATGTTTGTTCAATTGATTTGTGATTCACACTTTACCTACAAATTATGTTCCAGTTTTCGGAATCTCTCGCTAACCTTCCAATATTAATTAATAATTATGTTACAAGATTCATAAGTGCCAACGTACTTGACAATCAAATGACGTCAAAATAGTAAAATGGGAGTACTGGGTTAATTTCATTGTATTACATGATAAGTAGATTGTAGTAATTTTATACGTGTTACTGGGTTATTTTATTATATTACAGGGTAAATTTCCAGACGAGGACAAAGGTCACGACGGCTGGAAGTCACTTTCTCCAGTTGACGCTTTTCCGGCGCAGAATAATCAAAGTGAGTCCAATTAATTAGTCCAATTAATATATTAAGATAATGTAATTTTCAGAGAAATATGGACTGTCAAATGTCAGACTTTGTATCTAGAATATGCCAACAAAATTACAACGGACGTTGCAACAAAACATGCATAATAAAACAAATTACCATGATGAAAATTCAAAAGCAACATGCAACATAATTCTGTTTTGGCACTGTACATTTTTCACTTATAATCTGATTTAATTATTTCATAAAAAATATGTTTTTAACAAATTTTGAATATTTCAGGCATGTTTGACATGTTAGGTAACGCCTGGGAATGGACAAGCACCCGTTACTATGAGAGAGTGGTAGACCGGAAGTTGCAGGATCTTAAGTATGTTCTCAAAGGAGGCTCGTACATGGACACCAGGGATGGCGCGTACAACTACGTGGTCCGTACCTCTAATAGGTAAATAAAAATAATGAGGGGAAATGGAAAACTAAATTATTTTCTTGATGTCATTGACCATGTATGTAAAATGAAAAGAAAACAATTTTTTTCAATATTTACTATCGGTATCTAAACATAAGTTACATTGCACGATGGCTGTCTTTTAGGTTATAACAATAACAGTGGCCCGTAATTCCGTATTGACAGTTCTTATTTGGTACTCATTTGATGATGACATTTAACACAGGTTTAAGTGTATAAAGGAATCGACTTATTCAGTAATTTTGTCTATCTATAATTTTACAAATTGATATACTATATGGAGTAATAGAAAAATTCTGTTACTTAACAAACATTTCAAAGAATGCAAAGGCAAAATGTTATCTTTGAGGATTATTTTTTTAATGGCAGAATGGGTCAAGAGCCAACCTACACTGCACATAACGTTGGTTTCCGGTGTGCAGCAAGCGCCCCGGGTATTATCGAGGACCTTAAGAAGAAAGATCCTAGGTACGGCAACAAAGACCAGGCGGCAAAATCTAAACGTGGGCCCAGAATACACCGGAAGAGCGATATGTATAATCCAAGTAAAACAAACAACCTTTTAAAGAAAGAGGAACTGTGAGGAATTATGATTCCAGGAGATTTAGTTTTTCATCTAAAATATAAATACAGTATACTTATCAGAAAAGAACAACAAACAAACAAACGAAAAACAAACTAAAAAAAAAAACACTGCGGAACGAAACAAAAAAAAATACACCAGAGTCACGTATATAATTTTCTCATTTATCTAATAATTAATTTTGATAATGCTATATTACCATTACTGCCATTGTAGTCGTTCTGACACTGTATCAGTCTGTCTGATGAAAAAAGACGATCTTTACTCTAACATATCCTCTCGTGCGTGCGGGGAAACAGGCAGATGGCACTACCGATCCAACTTACATTTGTAAATCAACATGGCGTTGACAATCACCCATACTGATATATGCATGTGATGTTATTTGATAATTATTTTGATGTAATTTGTGTTGTAGCTTTAGATCTTTTTCTTATTTTCAGGACTCAATACATGCAATGTACTTCATAAAATGTATATGGATGGATAAATAAATTACAATATTATTATGTACATGTATTTATTAAAATGTAACATTTCAGATAATTGTCTTATACTTAAAACAACACATTGCAGTGAATAAGTTCGGCAGTGTAATATTAATTAAGTTGCCTTGGCGTATGTAAATATATAAATGTTACAGGCAGACCAAAGGTCTAACTTTTAATTGTCAGCTTATGATGAAGCTTTAGTTACCTTCCTTTGTCAATTTAGTTCTCATTCAGAACATCTTGCCGATTATTCATAGTCCTTATCCGAGGTTTGACGTAAAGGGCCGAGGAGTTGCGATTGTATATATTTTGCCACGAATATACCATAAAATGATAATGAATTATTACAAGATGGTAACATTGTAAGTGTTAAAAGTCTATAGAAGCAATGGCGGCATCCCAGCAATAAAGTATGTTATGGACAGCTCATTATGACGAAGACTCCAAGATCACTCTAAAGGTACCTCTTTTCGGAAGCAATAACTGACTTAGATACTTTCAAACTTGCACTATTTATACTAACAAAAGAGAAATATAAAAAAGGCTTTTGAAATAATCAAAAGCATCGATATCGTTAACGTCCACAGCGTCGTTATCGTCATCATCATAATGTTATTATCATCATTGTCGCCCAATCGTAAATTATCGGCTCTTTCCGTATATTCCGGATAAGAGTCTACTGTGAAGCATAATAGCCGAGGTGACCAGATTGAATCGTCGTCATTGTTGATTAATGCTCTACTGGTGGGGAGACCGTATTTTCTGGACGGACAGATAGACGGTAAATGGCCGGACAGACGTACACTATTTTTTAAAAGAAGAACAGAAAATCTTGTTACTATTGTATCTTGTCGTCAGTTGTTTTTTGTATGAAAATGAAACTTTATATGAATGACTTTACATGACCTCCATTCGACTCAAACAACAGTAACTTCGAATACGTATCCTCGGAGCACTATTAGGTGAAAAGCGTTATATAGAGATCTTCATGGACCTCTTAACGGCACAACTACGTAAAGTGCATTTCTGAGTGCTATTGCTTTTTCCCCTTTTATTTTTTGTTGTTGTTGTTGTTGTTGTTGTTTCAGTCAATTAGTCGAGTTTTCTGTTCCTGAAAATAATAGTCTGTGTATAACAAGTTATTTGTATACAAAAAAACACTGAAAATGTCTAACAGATGTATGAATTTAACATATAAAGATACACGTTAGAAATAATAGGAGTTTTCTACTTAATACTGTTCAACTCTTCTCAACTGGATGCATCTTATTTAAAACATTACTGTTAAAAGATTTTCGAAATTCGCGAACCTGCTGTATTTTTTAATCAAACCGCAACTGGTCGGTCCTTGGATAAAACTTGATTTTGAATAATCATTGAGGTGTTCTGACTGCTTAAACTCAATTTCTCCTACACTCATGCCACAAATGTGAGTATTATTCATCCCTAAATTATTTTTTTAAAGAAAAATATTTTTCAAAGAAAAGAAAATTACAATAATAGAGTCTACAGAGTTTATTAAACGCCGCCATTCCTTGAAGAGCTTGTTTTTCATATTTTACAGCGAAACAAATTTTTAAAATAACATCTAACAGTAGGTATACAATAGTACATTTGTATTTGTCTAGTACAAAGACGAGACTTCAAATAATATTTATATTTATTTGAGACTTTTTCATATGACTTTTTTGTTTTATTTTATGTTTCTTATTGTTGGTTTTTAGTCGCAACTACACAGAAACGTTCATACATCATGGCGTCTGTCCAGCTTTACTGGTAAAAAAAACTTCAGGTACCCCTCAACGTGTTCGACGCGTTGATTGGTCACTACCCTTGCCTTCCCCCCCCCCCCCCCCCTATCACCCAATCAACAACCGCAGTATTTTTCATTTGAAACATGTTTTAATATTTGGTATATGCTTTTAATTTAATTTCCTTCATTTCCCACAACAAAAAAACCCAACGAATCGAGATTCGAGCCTACAGCGGTGAGTGGCTAGTTGTATGAAATTACAGACCATAACCACTCGGCCACTGACGCACTATAAGTAAAGAAATGATTAAGACAAATTGTCGCTGACAATTTTTGCACAATTGTAATACAGGTTTATGAACAGGTTTAAGCAGAGTATCTTGTGAGATTTTTTTTCCTGCTAGCATTCGAATAACTTTATCCGAAGACTGATGGAAAGGGCCGAAAAGTTGCGATTGGCGAAATAACATATGGTAAGGGGAGGTAACACGTTCAATATATCGCGCAACATCACGCATCACGTGATTTCGATTTTTTGTGAATACGAGGGCTATGTCTTGAATAATGTGAATGAAAGAATTTTGTTATTTTAAAAAATTTAAAATTTAAATTACAAGATATGTTAATGGCCACGTAAAAACAATGACGAACCTTATTCAATTACGTTTAAAACTTTCTTTTTACATTTTAGTTACGAGTGTCTGAAAACGTAAACACAGGTGTTTACATACATTACTGCCATTGGGTATGTAAATGTTTAGAAATTATTCAAATGTCCGTATCTTAATTAAGCACAATTAAGTTGACCGGGTAGTAATTACCTTTAATGTACACTTAATAATACTCCTCCCATCATGCAATGCGGTCTATACCCAGATAAACTGAACGAAATTAATCTTACGAAATGATTTGATTGGTCCATAAGATATTTGTAAAATTTGATTCAGGTATTTTTAAGCAAATAAAAAAGAAGAAAAAATGTTACTTCAAAGATAAGTCATCTTTTGATGTCAAAAAAGGAATATTCATGCGCGGGACTATTTTATATTACGAAGAAAGAGAAAATTTGGAATGTTTTTGTAGACCTACATTTCTGGCATGGGTCGTCTTCATACGCCGAATCTTTATTGTCTGACAAAACCTTTTGAAAGTTAGATGTTAAATTGTTTGACATCTTTATAGTTCCTATATTTGTGATGCAGAAGCAGACGAAAAACACATGGACATTTACAACATCATGACGCCGTTGAAATGACCGGTGCGTATTATATTTTCTACATTTCCATTTTTGATATTTATTACAAACATCATATTAAATGACTTGTGTTTATTACATGTATTACATTCAAACATGTGTAGAACTTTGGTTTCCACTTAGAAAATCTATGTCTACAGACTAGAGAGAGGCTTTTTGCAGTCAGCCATTTTATCTTAACAACTGTTGAAGAGACATCTATAAGTTGCTGCGTCTGGTTTGAGTCATGTACAGTTGTCCATGTGTTCACGAAAAGGTCACCAGGAACACGAAAAAATGGCTACTTTGTTTGTGTGATCCCATACTAAACTATTTTGGAACAAAAAGCGGAAAGTTTAAAGCGAAAAACAACACACAATTGTCGTTTTTCGTGTTTTCGATATTTTCACTTAGCTTAATGCAAATTTATAATTTTGGGAAACACAGAATATTTGATTTAACCCATAAAAAATAATACCGAGTGTTTTTTTTTACCCCTTTTCAGCATTAAAAATTAGCCCCTTTTTTTCTTATACTTTTCTACGAATACCTTCTCGAAGGTTAGATTTTAAACGTTTCAAATGATATGGTTATTGAAATTTGAACCAATTTTCAACCATCAACCATTTAATTTATATCTAATCATAAAAAACGCTACAATTTTTTTTTATTTTTATTTCAAACTAAGTGAGCGTTATTTGTTATTTTAAGAGGAAATGACCTAAAGTCCTACACGTTGAAGGTATTTCATAAATATCTACCGATCACCGATCACATGTATGTGTGGTATTTCAAAACTCTGTCAGACTGCCGTGCAGCTTTATCAATCTTCGTATATTAATGAAAATTAATAAAACTTGTCACTTTCTTCCGCATGCTGAATAACGTCCTTGTGCAAATATTTTACGGTCTGATTTTCATAATTCCCTTAGAACTACTTTCATGTTTGTGCTTTGGATTTTCAGAGGATAATGGAATGAATTAATGTTAAACTGTTATTTTTGTGGGAAACAACATTTAATAAATATTCACAGTATAGGGGCGTAATGTAGTAATACAATAAGACATTTCCTTTAAAAAAACTGTCTCGGCTGATTTCCCCTGATCTAATATTCTAAATAAACTCTTGAAATTTAGTTTTTGTTGAAAAAGGGAAACTTTTTTAAAATTTTATACTTTTTCGTAGGCCGTTTTTTTCCCCGGGAATAAAGTAAAGTGAGAAAAATTATTTAATCCCGGGTTTTTTTCCCAAATATGTTCAAAAAAAGGGGATTTAAAAACGTAAAAGTAAAGGGGAAGAAAAAATCTGCCATCCCAAAAATGAAAACAAATACTTTTTTAAACAGTACCATTTCAGTAGACAATTTCACTTTCTCAACGAAAACCAAATTTATAAATACAAAAAAAGGGGGGCAAAGCATTTTCATTAACCTTCTTTCCCACCACCCTGATTACCCTTTGGGGGTTTCATGTCCCAATTTTATAAATAATTCAACCATGCCCTAAGAAACTTCCGGAAAAGGGGTATAAAAATTTCCCCGTTTCCCTTAAAAGGGCTGGAGCATTCAAATGACGTTTTGGCTCTTTTTTTATTTCTTTTCCACGGCCCCATTGGCTGTATGAAAATTTTTCCGGGAAAGTGTTTTTTTGGGGACTGACTTCACACCCCTGAGTGCAAGTTCTTTAAATTTTTCTACGGAAGTTTAACATGCCCTTGGGATCCCAAAAATTTAAGCCAATGATCCCGGAAAGACCCTTTGTGTTTTCGTGTCGCCATTCGGAAAAAGCTAGAGTGTGTTCTTTTGAAACTTTGCAGGGAAATAATGGTTTGGATCTACTTTTTTTGTTATACTTAAAAAATGCCCAATTTTTTTTGATTTTAGTACCCTAGCCCGCAGAAAAAACCCTGACAGGCTGTTTACGTTTTTTCCCCCAAAAGAGAAAAAATCACAGGGATATCAAAAATTTCTATGATGATTTTCGGGCCCGGGGGTTTAAAAATCTGGTAACGTTTTGCTTATTTGGTCGGGAAAATTTTAGATTAGTTTTTTTGTGTCATTTTTATTTTACTACGTAGGTAAAACCAGGGGGAGAAAATTAAAAGGGGAGGTCACATTTTGGCGCCATTTGGGGCTATGTTTTTTTGGAAGGATCAATCCTTTTTAAATTTACTAACATTTCCTTTTTTTCCCTCCCCTTGCTCTGCTTGCTTTTAAGGGGTTAAAAATATGACCAAAAACTTTTACCCGGGACCCAAAAAGGCTGCAACAGAAACTTTTAAATATTTAAAAATGACTTTTTTATAATTTTTGTCCTCCCAAATTGCCAACTTTTTCCCAGGAAAAATCCCGTTCCCGGAAAGTCGTTTTCGGGATGGCCTGACCCAAGGGAATTTATGGAGTTTTTCTCCCAAACAAAAAAAACTGAACAGGGGAACCCTAAAATAAATTTCATCTATCGTAGTTTCGACAATCACATCAAAAATACTTTCTAGAAGTGAAAAAGAGACTGGAAAACGGTGCAGTTGTTCAAAAAGTTCATGTAGCGAGCCCGATGATTCCTATATATATTATGGCGATATTGAGTTAACAGAAAAGACACAGAAAAGTTATTCAGTCTATATTTAAATAGCCACACTTCCATTTCAGAAAAAAAACCTCCTAAAAATAGTTTATATTCATATGCAGGTGTACAAATGAATTATGTACAGCAAGCTAGAACATTTATTATTTGATGCGTTAAAATATGCTAAAATAGCTGTTACACCATTAGTAATATTGCACGCATATGTCATTAGTAACATTGTACACATATGTGTTTACACATATGGTGATCAAATCATTCAATCCAGACATACACGTGCACGTACTTAAGCTTTAATACTTAAAATATTAATTGCATTATTACCTTATTTTTATTTAAAAAAAGTCGGATTTTAGTAATTTGTGTTTCCTCATATCCGAAGGCATGCTTCTTTTGAAATATTGCTAAACGGTTGCCCATAATAGATTTGTTTTTAAGTACAATTCTTTTATAGTTTTTTAATTTTATTTATTTTTTTATTTTTTCATTTTTTTATTTATTTGTTTTTTTGTTGTTGTGTTGTTTTCTTTTTCTTTTTTTTTTTTTTTTTGTAAAATATTTTATTACATTGATAAAAGTTAGCAGAAACCCAAAATTAACAAACACGCAATTGACCACAAATACGTTCTTCTTCATTTAAATTTTAACAGCTTTGTTACTTGTACATTAAGTGCTAGTAACATGTATTTATTGTCTCCAGATGAAAATAAAATAACCATTTGATGACGATATAAAATGATTTTTATTTATTTTAAATTCAATGCAATAATTTTTTTTTTTTAAATTTTTGGTATTTTCCAGTTTAAATTTAAAAGTTGTTAAATTTTATTTTCTTTACCCCAGGGGGAATTTTATTTGGGAAAATGAAAATTTGTTTGAAGTTCTCGCGTTCCTCGGGAAATTTTAAAAAAAAAGTATGTGCATTCGGGTCCGAAACCCGGGAAATCAAAAAAACTAAAAACCTGTTAAAATCTTTCCCTGTCACACTGACTTCCTGAATCCCAGAATTTCCCTTTATCAAAAAGAAAACTTGGTTTTCCCGGTCTTTTCCGTCACTCCGGGACTTCGTTCTGAAAAAATTTAGGGGTTGCTAAATCTAGAGCCCCGCAAATTTTGGTTTCACCCAAAGCACAAAATCAGATCGTTTTCCGCTTATTAAACCCAAAATTTTAAAGATTCTTGACTGGTTTCAATTAATTTTGTTAAACCCATTACATTGTCTACTGTAGATATATGACTGGGGTCAGGTGTAGGAATGCCTGACTTTTTGTTTATTTTCGGTAAGGTTACAGAATCTCTATCGCTGGTGGCTTTATGAATAACATCTGTTTTCGCGACTTGTTCTATTTTTGGTAATTTATTACTTTTCGCTGATTTTAAATATTTACCACTAATATCTTTAGTTGCAGAATCTGTCTCACGGCTGACTTTATAACTCTGTCCAGTACCAAACGAAACTCTGTCATCGGAAAATCCAGAAATATAGCTTTTTAGAGTTTTTGGTACACGGTGGTATGTACCGATTGTCGTCTGCGAACTTTCACTAGGTTCGGATACTACATCCGGTTGTCTGCGTTTTTTCAATATTGAGAATTCTTCAAGCCTCGGTTCTCTGTGAGTTTTGTAATGGGCCATCATTTGCTGCGTATTTCCAAAACGCTTCCCACATATCTCACAAACTACGGGCTTCCTTCCTGAAAAAAATCAGAGTATGTTTAAGGAAGAGTAGCAATAATTTTACTTTCCATATTACATTTAAATATTTCAGTGATTTTACATGTAGATATGTTAGAAGAATGCACGTTTCAGTGTTGTAATACATTTGTATTTATCAAAACAACAAAAGAAGAAGATTCGTTTGTCTACACGTCAAGATAAGAATATAAGATATGCCACATCGTATCGAGAAATATGCTTAATTACCTTCTCGATCGTATAGTATGAGTGAAGAGTAGTAATAATGACTTCATTACATTGAATATATTCCATTTTTCCTGTTATTTTTGTCTATTAATTCAATTCATTCAAACGTTTAATACATACTTATAGCAAATTACAAATGACACAAAAATACATGTTAACATGAAATTTTCGGGTAGCATAGTTAGTATACAGGAATATAAACAAATATAATTAATATGTTACATAACAATAAGCATAATCAAAATATAAAGTTTATTAATAATATCAGTTATTACCTTTTCATAATTGAAACTACAGACTGGGTGATTTAAAAACTATTAAATTATGTAACTGAAATCTATGACCAGTTTTTCATTGTTTTTGAGTGAAAAATGAACGTGAATAGCATGCAACCAAAAAATATAATGTTCTGACTCGGCAAACATTTTCTACTTTGTAGATGAGCCTGCTGGAATTATTTATTTTTTTGGGGGGGGGGGGGGGGGCAGATGGGAACTTGTAGACTACAAGATTCAGGTATATTATATATTAGGTATCTCCCATGCAGAACTTTACCTATAGTCCTTACCAGGAAGTTTGAGGGAGGTGGTGGAAAAATGCGATTTTGTACAGTATATTACTGAAATACTTTTAATTCAGAAAAGGAAAAAAAGGAAACATACGAATAAACAATCTACCTGTATGTGTAAGTGATATGTGTCTACGCATATCGTGGACGTTTGAAAACCATTGCCCACAAGTTTCACACTTGCGTTGGCGAGTGTCAGCTACCGCGAGAGAGTTTGAATATCTTGGAATCTGTTGTCGTCTGCTGGACGTCTGATTCCAACGTAAAGATTGGCGTTCAGCACGTGACAAACTACGATGACGTACATCGTCCGTATGAGTCATGAAAGTAAGCGGAAAATAGATACGAAAATAACACCAGCACTTTTTTACGATTATGATGTCGTCTGTTGAACAGATTTAAGTTAACTTTTCAAATATGCAGAAATTACATCCAAAGTTATTGCCACAATAACAGTGCACTTTAATAAAATGAAGTATAATTTTTAATATAAGAAATACTTTCAGTTTTATTTAAAATACATTAAGTTGCAAAATACCTATTTTTTTTAAAAAATATTTCGTTGATTGAAATGCGAAATTTTACTTGTACATATAGATTTCTTCCTAAACAAAGGGACGTTTTATAATAGAAGAACATGTATTGTTTTTGTTTATAACGCCTCATTTATTTTAGTACCTGACTAAGTAATAAGTAACCTTATACTGAAACATTAAGTGTTTAACTGTCATATGATTTATATAGCAGGTTAAAGGCACATTGTGCCTCAGAATGAATAATTTTTTACTTCTTTAGAAATGGCAACATGAGTTTTTTTAAACATTTAAATAATGATTTTAGCGTATGTTATATGCTTGTTACCAGAAGAAATTGGCGATAAATGTGATATAATTTGTCATTATAAAGTTAGCAAACTGTAAGTAGTATTTTAACTTTCATACAAAATACTAAATCACTAATTGCCAAAACGCAACATAAGAAAAAGAATTCAGGTATAATGTCTAATGAGAAACATTTTGGAAATTATAAAAGTACACCAAAACTAAAAAGATTTTGAGGTATTTCTTGGGCATAATCATCCTCGGTAACCCAAGATATTTACCGTATACATGTATCGATAAATAAATGTAGTATACGGAATGTGTGCCGTGGGTTCCGGCATTAGGGCATAATGGGCCTTTAAAGGGAATCCACTGAGGTTTTGTGACATGATGGAACTGGAAATATTTTTTCGAGATAAATGTTTTATTTGATGTTTCTCTAAACTTATAACTTGGATGCAAAATTTCAGAGCATTCGGTCATTCCATTTTTCCAGAATAATTATTCTAGATAATTGTGAAAAACGATACAAAATTGAGAACATCAACATCAACCATTATCATCATCTAATTTTATTATCTTTTTGCCATTATTATTATTATTCATTATTATTATTATTATTATTATTATTATTATAATTATTATTATAATAATTATTATTATTATATTATTATTATTATTTATTATTATTATCATTATTATTATTATTATTATTATTACTATTATTATTATTATTATTATTATTATTATTATTATTATTATTATTATTATTATTATCATCATCATCACCTTTGTCTTCTTGTTCTTATTTTTTATTTTTTTTTCTCATCGTCATTACCACCACCACCATCATCATCATCATCATCATCATCAAATCAGTAGTCTTTTCGAACAAGTTCTAAAAATAGTATTACGAGAATTGTATTTGATTTGTTGTTATCACAATATAAACTATTAAGGTAGACCATTGGTAATGCATTACCTCCAGTTTGAAGAGTATTCAAATAGGCTGGGATCGCTTGTCGACTATATTGAAATTTAGGGGCGTGGGTTCAAACCCCAGAAGTGGCAATTTTTTTTCTTTCTGTTTTTTTCTTTTTCACATTATTTATGTATCTCTCAGATCCCTTATGGAAATAAAAAGTGCTCGATTTTAATTATATAATTATTGTATGTATTTATTTGCTAAAGACTGCCAAATATTAGCAAATATGATACCAGATATTTTCAAAGTTTAATAAAATAAAAACTACACGGAACAGAACAGAACAGAACTAAATTTTATTATTTTCATACTTTTATTTTTAACAACACTCAGTTAATCCTACACGGTAAAAGTATTTTTTATTTCACATGATCAACCAATATACAATTTAGGCAAACTTTGAAAATAGCCCATCATTATGGTAAATTTTAGGGATATTTTAAAGGCGTTTTATATAGGGAAATGATTAAATAAGTGTTTAAAGTGGATGGGGTAGGGTAACATTTTTATACATATGAAAAACATTTTTTTTAGAAACAATCATTTTGCTCGTGTAATTTATTACCTGAATGTTAGTTTTTGTTTCTTAACAATGAACAATAGGAAAAGCTTTTTACATAATGATGATATTATAGAATATTTAGATTTTCCTCATTTCCGAAAAAAAGCCCTTCTATTAGCAAAGTTTTAGTTCAGAAATAAATCCATAACTCATAAACCACACGGTAAATTTCATTCAAATTTTGCATACAGGTGACCTTTAAGGTATATAACTGTCCTATGTTGTCAATTTTACAGTTCCTTACAGTGCCCATTACCCATGGTCTACCTTAAAGGCGAACATGGAAATGAAACATCAATTTATGATTAACTTCTTTAAAATGTCGTGTTTATTAATAACATCTTATTATGTAGTAGAGGTGTGTTTCAGATACATTTCGACAGATACAGAAAACAAGATAAACTTTGTCAGTAAAAATGCCCGACAGGCAAAAAAAGTTAAATTAGGGACATAAACTTCGCATGACAGGCCGTGATTGGACAACTAAATGGTCACTTTTATTACACCGCTGTGTTTAAAGAGAAAATTACATTTCCTAGCAATTAAATTGACATCTCAATGTAAATCATGCTAGATAAACTATGTAGGTTACATGTACAAAACAAGATGATGATTTATGTAGCTGTGAGCGGATAATTATTGAGAAATGATCGATAAAAGTTTGTCTATATGCAACTTAAATCATGGATCGATTGAAAGTTACATGTATGTTACATAATTCATTCATTATTGTAAATTAAACATCCGCAGGAGCCCGCTCGATTCTCCCCAAAGATAGAACATTTCATTCATTTGTTCATTCATTCGTTCGTTCCTTCGTTACTCACTCACTCACTCACTCACTCACTCACTCACTCACTCACTCACTCACTCACTCACTCACTCACTCACTCACTCACTCATCACTCACTCATTCATTCATACATTCATACATTCATTCATTCACTCACTCACTCACTCACTCATTCATTCACTCATTCATTCACGTTCATTCATTCATTCATTCATTCATTCATTCATTCATTTGCTTTTGTGCATTATTGTAGGTAAATTTTATGTCTCTAAACACGTACCCTTCAAAAACCATTAAGCCAATGTCGAAAAGTCTGATTGTCCCCAATGGCCCCATCTGTGCGATAACTGTCCACTTGCATACCCAGTTTGTCTGCAAAATCAATCAAATAAGAAATTGAAGCGGGATATTCATGTTAAAAATCTACATAAGCGTTGATAAACAACCACTTTGGTATTTAACAAAATGTTTGTAAGAATTGACATAATATGTAGCCTGTATGCTCTGCCAAGATATAAAATATGATAAAAAAATAACTGTATTGTGATAAAGAAAATGTATGTATGATCAAACATATGTGCGCAGTCGGCTGTGCCAAAAATGAAATATGATAAGTAAAGCACAGTCCAAGTATAGCTATCCAATATCTACCCAACGGTATACCCAGTTTGTCTGTAATTTAAACCAAACAAAAAGTTGAAACCTGATTTTCATGTTTAAAGCTTTGATAAAAAAAAACGCATTGTGACAAACAAAACGTATATAAGGATAAACATATGTGTGCAGTATGCTGTTCCAAGATGAAAAAATAAGTTAAACAAATAATTGCAAAATTTTTGTAAGGATAAACATAATGTATGGTGTATGTTGTGTCAAAATATAAGATATGATTAACAAATAACTACATTATGATAAACAAAATGTATGCAAGATTAAACATAAATTATTATGTGTGCAGTATGCTGGGCCAAAATATGAAATATGATAAACAAATAATCGCGTTGTGATAAACAAAATACATATAAGGATAAACATATGTGTCCAGTATGCTTTGCCAAAATAGGAAATAATTATAAACAAATAACTGCAATGCAAACAATGCCTGTAACATGATAAGCAAAATGCAATACAATGATGCATTTTAAAACCAAAATTGTATACTATGCTATGCGTCAGAAAAATATATATAATTTGTATAAAAGGCTATGGAAAGTTAGGAAAAACTAATTTCTTCATCTGAGATTTAATATACATATTTCTAATGTATAAAATAAGTTATATAACACTTCCATGAATATATATTTTGCTTAACACCTTATTTTGTAACACTCTCGAAAAGCGTCACCTTTAATTATTTAATTATCACGCTTAATAAGTATTTATAACTGTAGTTATTACATACAAAATGAATTTTGATGATTCGTTAGATAATATATGTACATGTAATAACCGCCTAACATCAAACATGTACACCATAATCTTGTCAATTCGTTAATATGTTGACAAGTTAAGCATGTATCTTGTACTTTGTCGTGAACTACTGGGCGAAACTTCCGTCCGTGTTTTTATTATTTTACTTTAAAGGGACTCCACTGAGCTTTTTTGGCATGGCAGGACTGGAAATAGTTTTTCCAGATTAATGTCTCTTTTCATGTGGGTCTAGACCAATTACATTGTGTGCTAAATTTCAAATCATTCGCTTACTCCGTTTTTTTCCAGCATATTTGTTAAAATTGTGAAAAAAAAACTAATAAAATTGAAAAGCGTTGCAACTCTTTTCACTAAAGTTGAACTATGAATAGCACAAATATTCAATATTCAACGTATTTCCGAATCAACTTTTGCACAACTTGTTGTTAAAGTCTCCTAACTGCTCTATGTAAGAAATTCAATTTTATGTTTTTAGACTTTTGGACGCCAGTTGAGTTCCTTTAATTTCGAGTCGCCCAGTTCAAATTAAGTATTAGAGAAAGCATATATTGTTTATTAATATTCAAGATTTAAATATTGCTTTCAAACATCTTATCAATTATCTCTCTACATTCAACAGAATTAATATTGCGGCATTTAAAAGGATGTATACCTCGAATTACATTGTACCGTCTAAATATATATGTCACTTATTCTATAAACTTCTATATATACTTGCGAAATTTAGGGCATCTGAAATAACCCCTGTAGTAATGGCTATTTTATAATGGTGTATACAAAACAGTCACTTTTGCCCAGTAACGTATGTTTTTGGTCATTTACGGCCATGATCTGTCCAAGCCGGTCCCGTTTGTACGTTGACGGTGATATGACGTGAATAAATGCCTTAGGTGACGGAAAACTTCTGACGTTTGTCGATGAATGAGCAATGATCTATGCGCAAATCAAAAACCAACGGAAGTTTTTATTCGGTGTGGGATTACTAATTCGTGCAGTATATTACACAAAACACTCATTGTTATAAATAATTAAGACTGAATTCTCGAGCTTACAAGAACACTGGAAATAACAGCTAAAACCAAAAAAAAATTTTTTAAGTTATTTATAAGAAGAAATTAAGGGTTAAAAAAACAAAAGGACAAAAAGGCGTGTGCAACTTATATAACATAAATGTATATTAATCGAGTTATATTCATTTAATTTTCTACAGAAAATCTACAAATATAATCTGTGATAATAAACAAAAAAGGACAAAAAAATGTTTTCATTTAAATTAATAACATTTGCCGCTGTCGTCGGTTACATAACGGCGTTCCCGTCGGGAGCTCCGGCAAACATATGCGGACGGTATGTTCCAGGCGGACATAGAAATATGGGTACCCCCGTTGCAAATGGGCCGACCACAGGGCCATACAAGTTGGATGTAACGCCCAGTGGAAATGGTTTATTTACAGGTATGAAAAAATACTTATTTTCCATACTTTATTTCTTTAAGACAACTTTAGATACAATTCATTTTCGCTTATATAAATTTAAGAAAATGAATGCTTGTGTACAGTAAATTATTACCAAACAAATTTAAAATACAAAAGTTATTTATTTTTGCTAATGTAAGTTAAAGGAATAAATAAAATACCAGCATATTTATGTTTGTGCTCGGTGATTCATTCCATAAGTTTGAACATCAAAGCAAATTTGACATACAAAAGTTATCATTTTCTTCCATATTTCATAATTACATGACTGTATTACATGTTTAAATGTTTTAACCTTCACCTTGTTAAAAATGCAGAAAAAAATGTTCTATTGAAATTAAATTTTGGAAAAAAGTCTAGAGTTGAAAAGACTGAACACTGGAATAGCTCTATACTGTTTAGATCTTTTATTTTAGCCGCTAGTGTAAACATTTTCATTTTCTTGTAACCCACATTATTAATCACTTTCTAGTCCATTTCTTGAAACTAATCAGTACTGGTGTCAAATAAAGGAAAATGATCGTGGGCCAGTAGACTCGAACCCACGATCCTTGAGTTAAGCGGCAGTCAAATTGACCACTTGGATCCATACCCCCACCCATCCGCTCCCCGGCCAATTATCTCTGCTATATAACAAAGGCGGCTGGAACGCGTTTTAATAGTTATGAGTTCAAAGAAGCCATTTTGTCTCGCTTTCGTCGCTAAAATAAAGTACAAACTGTCCTTACGATCCATCGATCCACATTATGTCTGCTTATTGTTTTTGTTACTTTTGTACAATGATAATTGAAGCCCCTGAGTTAAAAAAAAACAGTACATTACGAAAAGAACACATCTTTTGTATAAAATCAGCGGACAAAAAAATTGATAACCACGATTTGAGAAGGGTCGCCCATTATATTGCTGCAATCTATAAGTCGTTTGGATCTTGGGTGTCAACATTTTGGTCAAATAACGAAACAGACAAATATTAAAATTCAGTATACGCATGCAAATCAAACGACGATTTTTAGAGGGGGTGTTGTGTAATCAAATTAACTAATGTATTGTACGGCTATACCGGTCGACAATTTAGCAACACTAAGACAATAAAACTTTCTTATCATGTCATATACGGACGTTTTTGGTCAGCAATAAAAAAATAAACGTTGGCTAGTTCGTATGTTTACAAAAAAACGTGTCTTTGCAAAAAGTTTGATCTTTTGATGTGGTTAATGTTTAACGTTTTCGTCTGGTAATAAGGACATGAACTTTTCATGTTCTAACTCTTGACGTTCATGTTGTATGAATAACAAGAAATAAACATGCGTGAAAATTTAATATAGATTTATTAAAATAACGTTTGTACATGACGCGAACAAAGTTTGAAGCTTATGAAATGCCGTTTCATTTACTTAAACAAAAGGAAACTACGGTCTTTAATAATGCATTGTTAATGCCAGACGGCAAATTTTCCGATCCTTTTATCATTGAGGAAGCACCATATAGAACACTCATTCGGAAAACCTCGGCGGTTATTTATGTATTCTTATCCGAAAATTGACGAAAAAGGACCAAATAATTGCGATATAAGAGTAATGGACCTTCTGCAGATTATCAAAAAGTTTCATCTCCCGGAAGAGTTCTATGCCCAAGTTGAGAAATTTGAACCCAACGCAGAAGCAATTCCGTTGAATATAACTTTTTACGCTTTTATCTTAGACGTTCACCTTTTAAATTTCTTACGTGCACTCATGCTACGCTCTAAAATATTTGTGTTTTTTTTCTCATTTTAGTAACGATACAGTCAACGACGTCACGTCCATTCAGGGGTTACGTCATTCAAGCCGTACAATCATGGAAAGAACTTCCAGACGGCCCGTCGGATATCGTCGGGACATTCCAGCCCGATTTTCAGCGTGGAAGATATCAGGTTAGCATACCAAAAAAATATACCCTTAGAAATTATTCCAAATTTAAGGAAATCAACGGATTTATTGAACGTATGCGTTCTTTTAAGTAGCAAAGCGCTGTTTTTTTTCATTATTTTCAATTAAAAAGTAATTTTATTTAATTTAAGTAATTTCATTATTTAATTATAAGTTATGACTAGGTTTACAAAAATAAAATGAAAATTTTGTCTTAAGCCCCAGTCACATTAGAGCTTACGACCAGTGAAGACCAGTTCACGATCACCAGTGACCTCTGGTCGCAGATAATCTTACGACGGTCATCGATGATATTTGACAGTCGCAGGTTATCTTATTTGGGTCCCACGACCAATTTCAGTCGTAGAGAGGTTTTTGAGCTTGCACAAAAACCTCCTTGCGATCAGACAGGTCGCTAGTGATCTTATAAGGTCTGAAGGCTGTCGCACGATGGTCGTTCGGAAGTGCGACAATCTTACGACAGTCTTTACAAATTGCCACTAGTCACTGATAATCTTAAGTAGTCTTTAGTAATCGTGTGATGGTCGTACGACAAGTTGTAAGTGATCGCATGTTATGTAACGGGTAGTCGTAAGTAATCCCAGGCAATCTTGAGACCATCGTACGTTAACTTAAGACCTGTCGTGCGATTGTCAATGATGACTTGTCTTCCGATACTCGCAAAAGTAAATTTATCTGTGCAAAAATGGTTTCGGTCGCAGACAATCGCTGATGATTGTCAGTTTTACAAGTCGCCGGTGGTCGCAAGTAATCGTAAGCTCTAGTATGACTGGGGTTTAACTCAGACAAAATAAGTTTTTGTCACGTAATAATTAAGTAAAAAAATTCGTCATTTTATTGCAGGTTCGAGCCTGTGGCGGTAGAATGGCAGGCAGCAATGTTCTAACTCACACCTCAAAAGATGATAAAACTCAAGCGTCAGCAACATGGCGTGCACCAAGAAACCTTCCAGATCCAAACATCAAATTTGTGTGAGTGTTATTTTAAATCCAGTAATAGATGTGAGATTAGCTTCCTTCGCCAGCATGTGAAAATTTGGCGTAGTCCGGCGCTGTCCGTCTCGTGCACATTCAAAGATATGTCAATTCATTATTATTCTATTAAATAAACTAATTGTGATGAGATTTTCCGAATCAAATGAGCCGTTACAACCTGAATTTGTTATACATCCGTCTGTTGTAAAGTTATAAAGAACTTGTATTGTATGCTATATATATAATTCATGTTTATTTTCAGGGCCACCGTTGTACAAGATTTCGACAACTTCTATGTCGTCCATTCTTCTCCAGTGAACATACAAGGTAATACTTTTACCATCGTCTTCGTTGATATATTCCGCTTTGTTGATATATATACTTTACTTGATATAACTATACAGTAAAATCTGTGTTAAAGACCAGTTCTGAATAAAATAACCTTTTAAATGAAGGCCACATTTTTGATAACCTTTCATTGATAAAACTGACTCAAGTAACCTCTATATAAAAACCTATTGTCTACAAAGACCATGCCCCCTTGCACATGCTTCACTATATGTTCTTTATTGTAAAACTTTTCATTACCATGTTTTGCCTCCCCCTGACACAAGCTTGACTTTATGTTCTTTAGTGTAAAACTATCCATTACTTCAGACAGAATTGGTTGGAAAGTCCATCGACCTTCATCTAGCTTACATAAAAGTTATGTTTAATCACAAGAAACAAGTCATTGAAATTACAAAACCCACTCTCAAGACAATAAGCTTAACCGTTCTACAAAAGGGGCTCCTCATAATTATGAATATCATATTAAATAAATCTTACGTCTCAATAACAAAGAGAAAATACATGTACTTTCTACTTGTTTCTGTCACGTGGTTCATACTTATGCGTTCTATTTTCAGACGGATCTGTTGGTGCAACAGGTAGACCATCTATTGGAACAACAGGGATGACCGGACAAGGTCAAGGCTTAGGAGGAAGCGGTCAAACTATTGGTAACACTGGTCAAGGATTCGGATCAATGGGAGCAGGCTTCGGTACTGGGGGACAAGGATTAGGAACCACCGGTCAGAGTTTTGGAACAAGTGGACAAGGTTCTGGTATTGGTGGTACCAGCGGGGGTTTCCCATCTACCTCAACTGGTGGGTTAACCACATTCGGCGGCTCAAGTTCTTCCACAGGTGCAGATAATATTGATACATTAGGCGGAGGTATATCAGTTATTTCTGATGCCTCTAATAATCCAACACCTATTCGGCTATTCACACCTGATCCACCACCGCCCATTGTCTTACCGAATGGTCAGATATCAGTTCATTCAGTAAATAATTCCGTTCATACAAAACCTATTCAATTTCAAAATGTGTCATCAACCTTTTCTACATCTTTTACATCTACTGGCCCGGTATCTTTTTCGCCCACCATGTCAGTCCCGAGTTTAAGTACAAACGATCAGGTTGTTGCTGTTTCACCTACTATTTCTTCTAACTCATTTGAAGCATCAAGAACGTCGTCGGCAGGAAATTCATTTATGTCATCACCAACAATGACATCATCATCATTTTCTTCCTCTTCTTCAATGACATCATCTTCAGAAAATTCTTTCGAGCCGTCGCCGACAATACCATCTTCTGCATTTTCTCCCTCGTTATCATTAACCTCTTTAGCGAATCAAGATTTGTCACCAACTAGTTCTTCGATGACTGTGTCAGTTTCCAGAAATACAGGTGTTATTCCTGATACATCACAAGGGTTGTTACAGACGTTAACAGGCTCAACAACAAGTGTATCTAATTTGGCAGTAGAACCATCGACGGAGCCCTTGAACGTGATAGATATGTCAATGAGTGGCAGTTTCCTTAATTCGGGTTCTTCAAATGCCTTCGACACAACCAATGTGTTTGCCGAAAATCTAGCAAACCAAGTCAATATTGAAATTCCTCCAGAAGGGCCAAATGACCCAACGATAAACATAATAGAAATTCCAATTCTGCCAGAGGGCCAAACTGCCGCCCTGATAAATATAACGAAGGGACGGGTTACACAAGAGAGTCAACGCCGTTTAGCTGGTATAAGACGCTTCGAAGGCCCGGTTTTAGCTCTTGCAAATGGACGAATCCAAAATGGCGGTGAGTCGGATGGTGCGTAAACAGTAGTTTTTGGAGATAGGAACAATATATCTATATAATATAAACTGTGGAAGGTGTTATTGGATTGTGGTTCTTAGTGTTGTTGGAAGAAATGTTAGCTCAACTTACAGTAGTTTATAAATGGGAATCTGAGAGAAAACAGTTTCAATGACAAAACAAACTAACCAGCATATACAGGAGATTTACATTCTCATCGTGTCTATAAGCATGCAGACATTCCGCTTTCTCCTCTCTTACACCCTCTTGATCTCTTCCTGTAGCTCTCACTCTCTCACATACAAACATCTTTTAGCAAATGCTTGTTACATTAACCCGCAGTAATCTCAAAATGGCTAGATCATAAATATATAATGTAAAGTCTAACAGCATAAACATGTATATCCTACGCATGTTCTTTTGATGCTTTACATTTCATTAATCTGAATATTGTGTTGTCATATATACATGTTTATATAGTCGCATTATGTATATTCAACCCCTTATAAGCTCGTGTATACTCGGCTATACCCGTCACTTTCCGTATTTTATGTTTATTTAAAATCATTGAGTATTGCTCTTCGTCAAATAGATACTTATTTGATTAACACACGGAAAGACGGGAAGAATGCCGTATTTTCACGAGTTTATATTGCATGCAATATTATATAATTATAAATATATTGTATGTAATCTACTAAATGATATTTTGGTATTTGAGAAAATTAATTCGTGTAAGCTATTTTAAATTTAAGTTAAATTAAAGTTAAAATTAAGTTAAATTTTCATGGATGATAATTATTTTCCTCGGTTCAATAAAAACTTAAATTTGTAAATGTTGTAATTTTTTAGCCAATAGCCTTCAAATAAAATATTATCTATTTCAGGCGGTGCTATGTCAGGTCAAGGTCAAACTGGCTTTGGTCAAGGACAGTCAACATTTGGACAAACGAGACCACCAGTGTCTGGTATGGGAAACCAATTTAGTGGGTTTGGAAGTCAGTTTGGTCGTCCAAGCGGTATGCAACAAGGAGGTATGTTTGGTGGCTCTAGATTTGGAGGAAGTCCGTTCGGAGCAGGAGGATTTCCAGGAGGAGCAGGCTTCCCAGGGGGAAGACCAGGAGGGATGGGTATGACACGATTCGGACCCGGTGGGCCTGGCGGGTTTGGTGGTGCAGGTGGTATGCCATTTGGAACAGGTGGATCTATGTTTGGTGGCCAAACAGGTGGACAAGGTACATTTGGCCAAGGAGGTACAAGTTCTACTGGAATGACTGGTGCTACTGGAGGTCAGGGTCAGACTCAAACAGGAGGGCAAACAACACAATTTGGTGGTTCAACGATCGGGGCTCAAGGCCAGTCCCCATTCGGCGGTTCGTCAACGTTTGGGGGTAGTTCAACTCAGTTTGGAGCAGGTCCATTTGGTCCACAATTTGGAGGTGGATCATTTGGTGGACCAGGTTCTTTTGGTGGACCAAGTTCGTTTGGTGGACCAGGTTCTTTTGGAGGACCAGGTTCTTTTGGAGGACCAGGCTCGTTTGGTGGACCAAGTTCGTTTGGTGGACCAGGTTCTTTTGGAGGACCAGGTTCCTTTGGAGGACCAGGCTCGTTTGGTGGACCAGGTGCCTTCGGCGGTTCATTTGGTTCTGGAGGCCGCGGCGGACCTGGTCCATTTTCAGGTCCAGGGGGTCCTCTAGGAGGGGCTTCAAGATTCCCAGGTGCAGGAACAGGCTTCGGTGGTGGAAGTCCAATGGGATCGTTTGGCTTTGGAGGACCAGGGTCACAGGCTGGAGGTTCTGGTGCAAGCGTATTTGGTGGTTCTTCAGGGGCCTTCCCAACAGGTCAAACGGGTCCATTTAGTGCAGGTGGAATGCAAGGAGGTGCAGTGTCCGGTGGTACACAGTTTGGATCTGGTTTATCACAAAGTCAAGGCCAAACAGGACCACAAGGACAAACAAACACTCAAGGCATATTTGGCCCTCAAGGACCAGCAGGTACTGGTTCCACGCAAACAGGTGGATCAACAGGATTTAACAGCTTTGGGCCAGGAACCGGAAGTTTTAGTACAGGAACTGGCTCTGGAAGTTCACAAACATTTGGTGCAGGAAGTCAGGGCACCGGAAGTGGAGTTGGCAGCTTTACTTTCAGTGGTTAAAAAAACAAACTTTGAATAGCTATTTATAAATCCGTTGTGTAAAAAATGTCATGCTATGTTATAGAACATGATTTGAGAGCATTCTCAGAACATTGTAAATTAGTCCCTTTCAAGACTTAAATGCTGTGAAAATTTGTTTCTTTTAACATTTATTGCCAATGACGACGGTTAATATTTAACTGTTATCAATAAAATGCCAGGTGACTTTTAGTCTCCTATGTGATATAAACTATTTGTCATACTTAAAAGTACAACCTGAAAGACTAGACAAGGGTCTCCCAGATTTCAGTGAGAACAATTTTAATATATACAAACAGGACATTTTTCTATATTTGTTTATTTTTGTTACCTTTAAGATATTTGTATTGTTTTATTTATCAAATTTTAATCTTGTATGCAAATTATACACTTATATGCACAATTTAGAGACTTAAAATATTTATTGTTACTATAAATAGATTTATTTCATAATCAACAAATCAAAATAGTAATCAACCAATCAGAAATTGTGCATGTATTAGCTCTTCAAATTTCAAAATCAATGAATCAAAAACAGTTTTTTTAATTTCTTTTTAAAAAACTTGCCATGTATTGCATATACCCTTTTCTATTTACAACAAATCTTTAAAAAAACAACAGAAAGTCGCTTCCTATCATTTTTCTTACATAAATTAATTTTGTACATATCATTTTCATTTTAAATTGTAAATATTCCCCTTCCCCCTCCCCCTCTCCTATTGTTGATTGTAATAATAAATAAATAAAACAAATAAAAGAATATAAGAAATATCGCCAACTTCGTGTTTTGCTTTATTTATATTTATTTTTTGTCTGTCTCAACCAAAAGTTATCACAAGATGTACCAGTTAAACAGCTTAGACTGGATGTATTTCTCCATTTTCTGGAGTCAAATTACGTGGCAAGTTTGAACAAAAGGTATAAAGAGATATCTCGTGAAATACTTTTATAAAATTTGCAAATGGAAGAATTATGGTCCTTCCCTGATACATGTATTGTGGCTAGTTTTCTAGAGTCATAACATAGATTGTCTCAGTTATTTAACACATATGAGCCGCGTCATGACAAAACCAACATAGTGGGTTTGCGATCAGCATGGATCCAGACCAGCCTGCGCAGTCTGATCAGGATCCATGCTGTTCGCTATCAGTTTCTCTACTTGTTATACGGTTTGTAAGCGAACAGCATGGATCCTGATCAGACTGCGCGGATCCTGGTCTGGATCCATGCTGATCGCAAACACATTATGTTGGTTTTGTCGTGACACGGCTCAATTATGAATAAACATGTAAACAGAATAAAATGTTCATGCTGCTATTCTATGTAGGGTTTTTATCGTTTAAAAGTGCGCCATTCCCTTTTAAGGAAAATTTCAAATATAATTATGTCAAAATTAAAAACGAACAAAACAAGAGCCGTCACGCAAGTGACGAATGCCACCGAAAAGGTTTCTTAAGCATGCAGGTATTATAAAAAAAAGAGCATGAGAGTAACTAATTGCTTAATATTGTTCTTGTGAAATAAAGTGCTTTTTAAGTTTTTATAGCAAAAAAACAAGGGTCTTGGATGCGACACATCATCTTCATGTGGTAGACATTTATGCCAAGTTATCATAAAATTCTTCCATGCATGCAGTGTTACAGTTTGGAAACTTATGTGTACCTTCAAACTCTTCTTATGAGCATAAGTACCTTCAAACTATTAGAGTGACCTTGACCTTCAAAATAGGAACATGGGTCTTACACACAAGACGTCATCTTGATGTGGTAGACATTTGTGCTAAGTTATCTTAAAACTTTTTATTGCATGACAAAGTTATTGTCCGCACACGAATGTTGGTACCTATAATCTCTAATTGTGATAACGTGATCCTTCAAAATATAAATGCGACACATCGTCTTGATGTAGTAGACATTTCTGCCAAGTTATTTTAAAATCCTTCAATGCATGACCTTTGAAGTAGGGACGTGATTATTGGACGCGAAACATCGTCTTGATGTGGTAGACATTTATGCCAAGTTATTCTAAAATCCTTCCATGCATGACAAAGTTACAGTCTGAACATGAACGTATTCTCTAATTGTTATAAAGTAAACTTCAAAATGGCAGTGTGACCTTGTATTTGAAGTAGGGACGTGATTATTGGACGCAAAACATCGTCTTGATGTGGTAGACATTTATGCCAAGTTATTCTAAAATCCTTCCATGCATGACAAAGTCACAGTCAGGACACAAATGTGTGTACCTACAAACTCTTATCAAAATGTTATTGTGACCTTGACCTTTGAGGTAGGGACATAATTCTTGGACGCGACACATCGTCTTGATGTAGTAGACATTTATGCCTAGTTATTTTAAAATCATTCAATGCATGACAAAGTTACAAGCCGGAGATGAATGAGTGTACCTATTTACTCTAATTTTGATAATGTGAACTTCAAAATGATAGTGTGACATTGACCTTTGAGGTAGGGACGTGGTTCTTGTACGCGACACATCGTCTTGATATTGTAGACATTTGTGCCAAGTTATTTTAAAATCCCTCAATGTATGACAAAGTTACAGTACGGACACAAATGAAGTGGGGACGCACAGACAGACAGACATAGAGACAGACGGTGCGATTTTAATATGCCTCCCTTCGGGAACATAGAAATTGTATAGCAGATATATAGCTAAATACAATTAAAGCATCACGCCCTCAAATTCATGAAATTTTGAAAATGTATTTAGAAGTAAAATACAAGTATTGTGAAGTGAACAAAGAAAGAAATTTACCCACTGCAAATGGTACTTAAATCCAAATCCATATAAATTACTGAAGCGGTCAAATAATGCAAAATTATCCGTTACTGCTCGAATACTTACTTGAATATGTTTACTTTTCTTAAAAAAACTAGAACATTTTTCTCCAGTTAGATTTTCTTGAAATAATTTAGCTCGTCTGGAGGATGCAGCTTTAATGGCTAAGTATCCCTTTCTATTAAGCCTTCAATTAATTAAGGCCGTGTATATATTAACACATAATACATGTGTATATTTTCTTATCCATTTATTTTCTGTTTTTGTATTTTGATACAAAATATAATATGAACAATTTATCAAATAAATTATCATGAAATAAAGAAATCTAAAATCCCATCAACAAATAATAAAATACCTAATATAATAAATGCATAAAAACACATTCTCATTTTTCTTCCGTCAAAAAGTGCTTATTTAATAATTCTTAAACAAAATATCAAGTATTCTTAATGAATAATCTTTGATAAAGAAACTCAACTGAGGTTTTTTTGTAACAATGGTACTGGAAATATTTTTTTCGAGATTTTTACATCATTTGATGTAGGTTTATACCAGTAACTTGTATGCAGTGTGTTCAATTACTCTTGTTTTTTTTTTCAAGAATAATAATTTTTATTGTGCAAAAAGACCTAAAATATTAAAACCCTTTTAAGCAATTCAATCAGTTTAAATTCCACTAAATATTGATTTTTAAAATTTAATTTTGAGAACATGTATATTTCTTTATCATCTTAAAACATATTTTCTGTTTTAAGTTCTCCATTGATTATGTAAGATTTTCAAATATTAAGTTTTTAGGAATTTGATCGTCAGCTGTGCTCCTTTCAAAAACATAATGAAGAATCTTCTCCGACTTTCATAATATCAAAGAAGATGACTCACAAGCAAAACATGTACAATCAGGAATGTAAAACCTGAAGGAAAATAGGTACAAATCTTTGTTTCAAATTTACATAATCATGATTTATTTCACAAACTATATTGTTAGAAAGGACAGTACTAAACTATATTAACCTGAGAGAGAGTATTTACAGAAATACACATGCCTTGTCCAAAAAAAACTCCGAAAACTCCAAAACAATTCTATATGCAGAGACTGGCCTTATTTAAATGTTTTAACAGGAACTTGACAAATCTTCAACAGCAAATGAGCTTGAATAACAAAATTCGTCAGCCAGGTGCAAAAATTTTGTAACTCTTTTATTTCATATGAGTTACAGCCATGTTGCACAAAGATCTCAAAATGTCAAAAAAGTTTCCTCTTCACCCTTTATGATGCAGCACTTTTAAATGCATGTACAAAACCAATGTAATGTCATAACTGAAACAATAAAATCATTCAAAATGAGCGTAAAACTTGTTGAACAAAACCAATGCTAAAAATTGTATAAATCAAATCTTGACAGTAAAATGAAAACCAGTTCTTTCTGAAAGCACATACAAGCACAAACAAGAGGGCCATGATGGCCCTGAAGTCGCTCACCTGTATATAGGCCCCCAGAGTGGGGCCAGTTTAAACCTCAGGGCTTTTTTTTAACAAACTTGGTAGACACCCATTTGAAGATGTTTCATGCTAAACATCTAAGGTCTAACACGTTGAGTTTTTTAAAAAAAGATTTTTAAGTTTTAACTATACACATATAGTTAAAAGCAATGAAACCCCTAGGGCGGGTCCAGTTTTGACCCCAGGGCTTTTATTTGAACAAACTTTGAAGACTTTCACTAGAAGATGTTTCATGTTTGATATCTAAACTCTAGCTATTTGTTTTTTTTTCAAAGAGGATTTTTAAGTTTTTGCTACGCACATATAAGGAAAATTAATGTGCCCCCGGGGAAGGGCCAATTTTGACCCCAGGGCTTTTATTTGAACAAACTTGATAAACACTCAATAGAAGATGTTTCATGCTAAATATCTTAGCTCTAGCTCTTTGGGTTCTTTAAAAGAAGATTTTATAAGTTTTTACTATATGCATATTGGGAAAATCAATGACCCCCAGGGGCCGAGCCAATTTTGACCCCAGGGCTTTTATTTGAACAAACTTGGTAGACACCCATTAGAAGATGTTTCATGCTTAATATCTTAGCTTTAGCTCTTTGGGTTCTTTAAAAGAAGATTTTATAAGTTTTTACTATATGCATATAGGGAAAATCAATGACCCCCAAGGCGGGGCCAATTTTGACCCCAGGGCTTTTATTTGAACAAACTTGATAGACACTCATTAGAAGATGTTTCATGCTTAATATCTTAGCTCTAGCTCTTTGGGTTCTTTAAAAGAAGATTTTTTTAGTTTTTACTATATGCATATAGGGAAAATCAATGACTCCCGGGGCGGGGCCAATTTTGACCTCAGGGCTTTTATTTGAATAAACTTGATAGACACTCACTAGAAGATGTTTTATGCCAAATATCTAAGCTCTACCTCTTTGGGTTTTTTAAAAGAAGATATTTTAAGTTTTTTCTATTGGTTGCCATGGCAACCAGAGTTCTGCATGGAATTAAATTCTTTGAACAATTTTTAAAGGTGACTACCAAAGGAACATTTCTGTGAAGTTTGGATGAAATTGGCTTAGTGGTTTATGAGGAGATGTCATTTAAAGTAAAAGTTTACGGACGGACGACGAACGGACGGACGGACGCCGGACGAAAAGCGATCACAAAAGCTCACCCTGTCACTTTGTGACAGGTGAGCTAAAAAGAGTTTATCTCAGCAGATGAACCTTCTTGACTCTATTTTAAATGCTGGTTGCCACGACAACAGATATACATATGTGTCATCAGATCTCTCCCATCAGTACAAAGAATAGCGAGCCAAGATATATGTGCTCTCACACCAAACACTGTACTGTTTGGTTTAAAAGATTTAGTATGCAACATTGATCTCCCTTTGAATTACAAATGGACGTTTCCAATTTAAAAGCATGACAATTCTCTTACAAATATTTACATGATATGGGCTAAATTATAAACAAGGTTTCCTGTGAGTTTGAATGGTGTAAAGTGATGATTTTTATGAATTTGTGTTGTTTTCAATGCTTCCAAGGAATTACAACTTTCCAGAATGTTTATCCCTTTTGGATTAAGTTTGTTTCCATAAAAAAGTTTATAGTAAAATGCTCTTTCATTTGGCAAGCATATAAAAACCTGCAAAAATTATCTGATTACAAAAAAAAACTATTTCCATTTTAAAGGGGACATACTTCTTACTTAAGGATTGATCATCAACAAATAAAATCATAGGGATAATTAAAACACACATTCCAGTTAAATCTAAACACAGATTTTAATGAGAGTTCAAGTTAACCACATTAACCAAAAATTTTAATAATTGTCAAAAAAAAATTAACTAATATCTAAGTTAACAAGCGGAGTAGTGTAAAATTGTACTGTGTATACTTAAGCCGCATGAGTCAAGTAAATCAATTTTTAGAAAAAATGCACTACAATTATAACAAAAGTAAAAAGATTCAAGTTTCAAGTAATAATTTACATGTTATAAGTGTTTAGTAATATGCATTCTATTAACAATTAGTCGCTGATTTTGCAATAATTATCGCAATATTTCTACTGCGTGACTTTGGCCTCAATTTCAAATACATTTTTAAAATGTTCTTGTAAATTAGCTTGAATTTGGAGGCATGTTGCTTGAAATATACAATCTTTTGGGGTTTTTTGGCCAAGAATTTATCAAATACTTCCACATGTTTAATTTGAAAAGTGGAGCTTAAAATGATATTAAAATGAGTTACATGATTTAATATAAAACAAGCAAATTCATTGAATTTATATCCCCCGCCGAGTACTGGTTATTATTAGCACAACAACTGAAGACATAAGGCTTTATTTATATATTAATCATGGCATAAACAGTAATATTCTTTGAACTTGATAAATATTCAGGGCAATAACAGAGCCATAACTTTGTGTTTATACTGTGCTCCTCTTAGTTCACGGTACTTAACACTTTAAAACAGTAAAGAACACAAACAATAAACTTACACTACAAAAACTGTCATAAACTGTATCATTTAGTCATTTTTCTGCTATATGACACAAGGAAACAACAATATATTCAATCAAAATTAGTTTTAATTTGTCAGATGTAAACAGTGTGTCGGCCGTTTTGAAAACATTATGTCATCATTTACCTCGCGGTAATGGTGTTTTATTTCAGTTTTTTCATGTTTCAGTTAAAATTTCTTTAAGTTATTTTGCATAATTTTAAATATTAAAAGTATTTTTACATTGTAACTCAAAATTTATTTTTTCAACAAACAAGAACATTTAGGAAATGATGATTGTTTCAGACGTACGCCCAATTTTAATGGACTATTGTTGTTTTTTGCAGAAGTTTGTAAAATGTTGTTCAGTTTTACGTAAAATTCTATAGATTTAAATTATTTTGCACAAAACCTTTGTTGTTAAGGTGTTTGAATAAAATATGTCAATTCTAACCAATTACAACACTGGTCACATGAAAATATGCCATTACCGTGAGATAAATGATGACGCGGAATTAGTGATGTTGAGTATAATAGTAATATCTGGAAATGCCAATGAGATGTATGCATACCACATAACTAATAAAGGGCCATAAATCTGAATTATAAGTATCTGACCGGAACAAGGCGACTATATGCACATCTCCTCTTAGTATCCCATAAAATTTCATTGAATTCCAGCCAGTAGTAACAGTTAAGTAGCACTTGCTCTGGTTGTATACTGCCTAAGTTATTAAGGGTCATAACACTAAATTAAAATGTCTGACCCGAACAAGGCGACAATATGCACATCTCCTCTTGGTATTGAAGGTTCCAATAAAGTTTCATTGAATTCCAGCCAGTAGTTGCAGATAAGAAGTGAGGAAACAAATATTATTCTATATGGATACTGCATAACTAATCAAGGGCCATAACTCTGTGTTTAAGTGTCTGACCGGAACAAGGCAACGATATGCGCATCTCCTCTTGGTATTGAAGATTCCCATAAAGTTTCGTTGAATTCCAGCCAGTAGTTGCAGAGAAGTAGTGCGGAAACGATTTTTACTCTATATGCATACTGCATAACTAATCAAGGGCCATAACTCTGAGTTTAAGTGTCTGACCGGAACAAGCCGACGATATGCGCATCTCCTCTTTATATTGAAGATTACCATAAAGTTTCGTTGAATTCTAGGCAGTAGTTGCAGAGAAGTAGTGCGGAAACGATTTTTACTCTATATGCATACTACATAACTAATCAAGGGCCATAACTCTGAGTTAAAGGGTCTGACCGGAACAAGCTGACGATATGCGCATCTCCTCTTGATATTGATGATTCCCATAAAGTTTCGTTGAATTTCAGCCAGTAGTTGCAGAGAACTACTCTGGAAACGAAATTTAGACGGACGGATGGACGGATGGAAGGACGGACGGACAATGCCAAAACTATATCCCCCTCCCGATTCCATCGGCGGGGGATAATTAGCTTTAAACACTCATTATGACTCGAGTCCAAATATAACAATGGTGTATCCTAACATTATTTTACTTAAGTTAAGTTGTTAGTACATAGTAAAACTAAAAACTGATGGTAAAATTTCATATAAAGTTATTCTACAATATATATGTAACAATTACATTCAAGAAAGTACAATTTTTCAACATGTCTAGAACCACACCTGAATGCTCTCCCATGCTACAGTGCCACAGCTGAATACATTGATGGCCAAACTCGAGAAAAATAGAACAATCTATATTTAGAATAAGTGCCCTTGACCTTTAACTTATTGACCTGCAACTCTCCAAAAGTTAAAAGTCCAAATTAAGGTCCCTAATTATCTAAGATAAATCAGGTCACATGTTGAAAAGTATTAAAATCTAATTATAACATCTGAGAATCTGATACAGACCAATTCAATGATGTGATAGTTCCATGTTATGTAGGTAGGTAACAAACTTTTTCTTTAGCTAGATGTCATAACATGTAACAGTGAGCTAAAACAGTAACTGTGACAGAGAAGGACAAAAAATAAACAAAAAAACATCAATTAAAATACACATTTACACCTTTCCTAAATCAATGAATTATTTCAAAATACATTAACAAACAAAACAATCAATTCATAATCATAATGATATGTTCATTAATTGTTAATCAAATATCAATTTAAGAACACCTGGCAGGCAATCAGAACAATTATTATCAGTAGTCACACAATTGTTAACATTCTCTACAGATTTACCTCCCTTTACCACATCAATATCACACGGTTTTGCATAACTAACTCTAGATTGAGAATTAACTTCCGACTTGTTACCATCTAGCTTTGTTGGAACATTTAAATCAGTCTGACTAACAATAATCTCTTGTGGTTTAGATACTGTTGCATATTTCTTTTTACTTTTCTTGTTATCAGAGCACTTTATTCCATTCTCAACATTTCCTCTTATCTCAGTTAAATCAGTATCTAAATCACTACTAATCTGAGCATTTTCATCATTTTGTAAACTAGAACTACTTTTATCTGTACAGAAATCTCTTCCCCTGATGATTGTATGGAAGTCTGTTCCCCTGTGACGCGAGTTTATATCACCGTGTACATCGCAACCAAACTGCCGTGCCTGTGATAAATTTGAGCCATTTAAATTTTTATCCACTGAAACATCAATACACTTTCCATCATTTGAACTCCATCAAGAGTTTGAATTCAATCCGAACTCGTTATTAAGTCCATCAACGTCTTTATTATCACAGTATTGGTAGAGTTCCGGCCGCCCCATGAGGGAGATGGCCATACGTAATGTGCTCCAGATGTTCTGTGACATCACAGACTGCGGGTCCTTCATTCCGTGGCTCTGTTTCTGCATACTTAACGCAGCTAGAAAATGCTCCACCGCCTCCCTGATAAATAATGGAACTAAATTTTATATCTGTAGTTCATTTTAATAATATATATTTTATATTAGGAATGGCAACAAGTAACCGGTTTAACGAGTACTCGATCAAATGTCGGAATATCGGTTAACAAAATTGATATTCGATAACTCGGAAAAAATTTAATTTCTACTTTTTGCCATTTAGAAAGATTAGTTCAGAAATACGGAAATGTACACGTATCTGTATAAATACTTGTTAAATGCAATCAAAGCATCCTTGCAGAGGTGTGAAAATGATATCGTAAGTTTAACGAGGCGATCAGCAGTTTGACACGCGTATGGGATTGAACACAGTCCTGTGTCGTTTATGTCATTCGGCCTGTTATGATATTTAATCACCTTTAAATATTAGACAGTTTGTAGCCGAAACTTGTTAATTATATAAACGTAAATATATATACGGAATATTATGTTGTAGCTTTGTATTTTGCTATGATCAGCGGTGGAAAAATTGATATCATACGAGACCGAAGGTCGAGCGAAATATCAATTTTCCAAAATTGAGAGTAGAAAAATGCATAGGCTACAACACAATTTTCCTTTTATTATATACCGTTTCGTTTGAATTATAAATTATTTTCATTATACTACACTTCTATAAGAAATTTCAGAAAAATGAAATGTAGCTGTCAAGGAATAAATTTATGACCGACGGATGAATACGTAATTTTTGCAAAACCGGCCACGCCTTTTATAATTTTGGTTTCCGTTTCCAAATGCTACGTTTATACAACCAACGTCAAAAATAGTCCGGCACTTCCATATATGGTACCGTATTTGTCACTAACATAATACAGAATTTTCTATCCGTTGAAGCGTATTTCAGTTCATCCTGTATTTTAAGGAGAAAATTTGTAGGTATATAATAAATGCTGTCATTGACATTTCTTATGTTTATATATATTTATATATGTATTTCTTGCAATCCTATTTATAGTTACGAATTCTATAAATTAAAATAGAAAACGAAAGTAGCATGCAGACGGTGTTGATATTGTATGATAAAACTTTAAAGATCATTGGAAACCATCCGAGTAACCGAGTACTCGATCGGAAAAATGACCGAGTACTCGAGTTTTGATTTTGATATTCGTTGCCATCCCTATTTTATATTATAGTTAAATTAAAATAAAATATATAAATGTCAGTCACTGATAAAATAACTTTGAGTTATAACTAAATCTTATATTTTCATTTTATATATACAATGTACATGTATATTTTATTTTCTTGTTAAAATTTTTGGATGCATGGACATCTATTTGAAATAAACTACATGTATATAAATGTCAGCCATTGATAAAGTAACTTTGAGTTAAAACTAAATTTTATATCTTTAGATTACGTCTACAATGTTTATTCTATATTCTTGTTCAATTTTGGGAGATATACAAGTACATATATTTAGAATAAACCAAAATGAATTAATATCAACTCTTTCATGATCATATTTTCATGTCTAAATTATTTAACTTGTGTATGTTTTCTATGGTAAAGCTGACAATAACTAACCTGTGAGCACCTAGATTTATGCATGCTATACCAAGGTTATATCGTGATCGTATAAAGCCGGGAGATAGATGCAATGCATTATGGTACGCGTCTACAGCCTCCTCGCTACGACTACCATTAGCTAACGTTGCACCAAGTTTGTTCCATAGCAACGCATCCTAGGAATGACATACAAAAAATATTAATATATTTACCACAGCTATCATATGATTAACATACAAAAACTTTACATACCAATAAGACCATTTATCATATAGGGAAATTTTCAAAATATGTATTGACTGAAGAGCCAACAGTACTATCTATGGCCTGCTTTGGTGAGTAATGTAAAATATATTACCCCAACAGGTTAAGGGGTAATAATTTACACTCTAGACTGATAAGAAAAACAATACCAACAATTTCGGTAGGTTTCTTCTCTGTTAACAAGTTACATGTACATGGTGTTTTTGATAAAAAAAAATATAACATTAACTTTAGACTATTTCTTATTTTCTGCTTTTCTAACAATTAACCGTGTGTCATTGATCAGAACAATTATAGCATTCCCCTTTTTCAACCATCATTTACAACAGCTATTAAAGTTTATTGCTATTTAAAATTCTGAAATTTACACAGTTAAGTCAAGCCAGTGTCATCTAGTGAAGGTACATTTGAGGTCACCATTGCCCTTTAAAGTGTTTAAACTAAATATCTGTTACAAGAAATCATGTTTGAATTTTTTTTAAAGTTAACTTCCAAAATGCCTGTATGAAATAATAATGGAAGTTCTATTTTATAATTCTTTTGAAAATTGACCATAAAATTATAGAAACAATAAAATTTGACATTTGATAAATTTTATGAAAATATATTAAGATATAGCTTAATACCATTTAAAAGTTAAAGGCTAAAACATCAACTAAACTTGTACACATCAAATGTTACAAATACCTTTGGCCTGACTTGTAACGCAGCTGAGAAACAATCTACAGCTTTATCGTATTCCCCGCTCAAGTTGAACAAAACTCCGAGACCACTCTGTACGTCCGCGTCTATTTCACCCTGAGACACTGTACGTGCTGCATTGATGTAAAGATCCTGTATCTGCTTATGTTCATGACTGTAACAAAATCAGGTCACTATCTTACTTAAACTTATCCAAAGGTAACAGGACGTCTTGTTAATTAACCGAATCAACAAATTTGCTAGGAAGAAATAAGCATCTACAGTAGGACAGTGTTCTCAACAATTCTAAGTACTTAACAATAAAACAAAAGCCTATATAATTTAAATTAATGTAAAATTTGGTAAATTAAAAAAAAGCCTTAACCCTTAACCTCATATATACGCGAAACAACGCACTTTCGACCCCACCCCTTTTTTTAGGACTGAAATAGTGAAAAATGTCCAATTTTTGGACCCAAAACACATGTTTTTGTTTGAGAAATGTTGCTAAAAAAAGTGAGCACTTTTTCGGCGCCGCCCCCCATCCAAAAGATACATCAGGGGGTTGCCAGAAGGGGGATGTGCCCCCTTCTGTTTGGGGGGTTTGAAGGGGCCAAGAAAATTTTGGACTTGTGAGAGTCTAAAAATGACCTAAGGTCGATCATAAGGTAACATGTAACCAACACTGCAAAGCCTTTGACTCTATCTCAATCCCTTGAGAAGTTGCAGCACTTTGAAATAAATTTTGATGGAAAAAATCGAGGCAAAATAGTGATTTTTGGCAATTTTGAGATGTTTCCTCGTTGCCATGGTAACAGGAAATTTAAGACTGAGCATGTCGCTACAAGGGCAATGGTCCAGTCAACATTTGTGCCAAGTTTGATTAGTATTGAAGCATTTTTCATAGTTTCATAGCAGTTTGAACTTGTAACAGGAGGCTTTTCAGTGAAAACGGCCATTTTTCACAATATGCTCATGAGGGAAAGGGTTAATTCTTTCAAAATACAAGTTAGAGTTAAGGTGACGTTCTTTTATGCTCTTAAATAAGTGTGTGAAGTATCAATCCATTTCCTTCGATAGCTTTGGAGATACCAACTTGCACTAAAAAAACTTTAAGAGTGATGCTGACACCGACACGGACAATGGGTGAATATAGTAGCTTTCCCTATTCTTTAAATAGTCAAGCTATAAAGGAAAGTGACACAATTACTAAAATTTATTTCAGGTATTGATCAGATGGGAAACCTTTTTATCGAACACTTGATCAGTCATGTATTATTAATAATTTACTGTTACCATCATTTTATTACTGACGTAAGAGAAAGATGGAATCACATAAACTTGCCGGTTTACCAATTCAGCTAACTGGCTGCTAACTAACTTTCTCCCATTAATTATTAAATAGCTATATAAAGTGAGACATACATATTTTATCCTCAGTAGGTTGAACCCCCACTCGACCACCAACATCAACCCCTCCCCCACCCGTCCATCAACATAACACAGCTAACACTTCCATTTGAACTAGAACTATCACTAAATGTGATTAATACCCCAACAAGACTGCTTCGGAAATGAGGATGTTACTAGTAACAGAATACCTTGTACAAGAATTGAAATATAGAGTTATGGTAATGGGCAATTAAAGATAGTTGTGGTTCTTATATGTTGCATTTCCTTTCAATGTAGTTGGCCATTGATGAAGTTTAATTGAATTACTCTGTAATTAGTCCAGAAAGACAAAGAAAAGGAACAAAGGGCAATAACTCTATAAATACTGAAGATAGAGTTATAGTTCTTGTGCACTGCACTTCCTCTTATTGTGCTTGACCATTGTATGAAGTTGTTTTGAATTCCAACCATTAGTCTCCAAGTTATGCTCTTGACAAGGAAAAGTATTAAAGGGCAGTAACTCTGTATTTTGTCAAAATGGAGTTATGGCTCTTGTGCACGGCACTTCCTTTTAATGTCCTTGACAACTGTATAAAGTTGTATTGAATTCCAAACAGTAGTTTTCAAGTTATGCTCTGGACAAGGAAAAGTAACAAAGGGCAATAACTCTGTAATTAGTCAAGATGGAGTTATGGTTCTTGTGCACTGCACTTTCTCTCAATGTGCTTGACCATTGTATGAAGTTATATTGAATTCCAACCATTAGTCTTCAAGTTATGGTCCGGACAAAAAAGGCAATGGAAAAGTAACAAAGGGCAATAACTCTGTAATAACGTTAGATAGAGTTATGGTTCTTGTGCACTGCACTTCCCCTTATAGTGTTTGACAATTGTATGAAGTTGTTTTGAATTCCAACCAGTAGTTTTCAAGTTGCCCCGGACAAGGAAAAGTAACAAAGGGCATAACTCTGCAATTAGTCAAGATAGAGTTATGGTTCTTATGCACTGCACTTCCTCTCAATGTGCTTGACCATTGTATGTAGTTATATTGAATTCCAACCATTAGTCTTCAAGTTATGGTCCGGACAAAAAAATCAATGGAAAAGTAACAAAGGGCAATTACTCTGTAATTACTTTAGATAGAGTTATGGTTCTTGTGCACTGCACTTCCCCTTATTGTGTTTGACAATTGTATGAAGTTGTTTTGAATTCCAACCAGTAGTTTCAAGTTATGCCCCGGACAAGGAAAAGTAACAAAGGGCAATAACTCTGTAATTAGTCAAGATAGAGTTATGGTTCTTGTGCACTGCACTTCCTCTCAATGTGCTTGACCATTGTATGTAGTTATATTGAATTCAAACTATTAGTCTTCAAGTTATGGTCCGGACAGAAAAAAGCAATGGAAAAACAACAAAGGGCAATAACTTTATAATTACTTTAGATAGAGTTATGGTTCTTGTGCACTGCACTTCCCCTTATTGTGTTTGACAATTGTATGAAGTTGTTTTGAATTCCAACCAGTAGTTTCAAGTTATGCCCCGGACAAGGAAAAGTAACAAAGGGCAATAACTCTGTAATTAGTCAAGATAGAGTTATGGTTCTTGTGCACTGCACTTCCTCTCAATGTGCTTGACCATTGTATGTAGTAATATTGAATTCCAACCATTAGTCTTCAAGTTATGCTCCGGACAAGGAAAATGCAACGGACGTCTGGACCGACCGACCACCGGGTGACTCCTATAAACCCCCCCAAACTTTGTTTTTGGGGGTTTAATGAGAGGCAGAGTAAATAGCTTAATTTTGGCTTTATGGAGATATTGTAAAGTTTGAAAAAAGAAAGTAATATACCTGGAAACATAAGATGATACTCTAGGTTGAGCATCTACTGGTTCGGGTACCAGGTGTGCATATTTTGGGTTGTTTTTCAACCAGAGTTTGAGCGTATGACAGGCGTGTGAAGCCAGTGACTCGTTTGTATAACTGACTGCCAGTGACATCAATGCTACGAGGTTACCTGGTTCAAGTTCTAAACATCTGAAAAAGTAAAAGAAATAGAATAATAATCTTTACTCATTGTTTGATCATTTGTCTTAGAAATGAAAGACAACGATAATAAATGAGTTTCTTTTGGTAAAAACATACTTAAGCTGTTTTTTAAACAAGTTCTTGCAATTTATATAAATCTTTTTCATTTCTTGGAACCAACCAATACTGATGTTATATGAAGAAACACAGTGGTGACTTGATTAGAGCTCAAACCCATGATCCCTGGGTTGAGAGGCAGACACCTTAACCACTAGGCCACTGCTAATTTTATTGAGTCAATTTATATCTCTTTGTCACACCTAAGTAATTACCCTGTCACACACTGCAACTATTTGATAGATTTAAGTTTGATTGTACTTTATGACATTGAATTGACAAGTGTGATGATATCCCTGTCCTGGTTGAGTATGATGATTTATCATATATCCGTGCCCCGCTTTTGCGACTTCATAAAACTGATATTGCACGGTTGTACATATATTTGACGTGATGTTATTTGCATTATAAAAACACAGTGTATAGATGTGCTAAATGTTAGCATTACTTTTTACTAATGGACGCAGACTTTTAATACATCCTTGTGCTTCTGCAGGTGATAATGCATGCAAAAACGGTACATTATTCCTCTATTAATAACTGATAGTCTGGTAAACTGCAGACATATACCTATAACAAAATGGACAAATTACCTTTCCATTAGAAGTTGATATAGAATTTAACATACAATAAACATACTTATTTAGTGCAGAAATGGCTGCTGGTTCTTGTTCATTTTCAGCTTGTGTTGTACCCAGATACTGCCATGCCTAGAATATACAATTAAACATGGTGTAAATTATCATAATCATAATAAATTTCTCTGTTTTATTGATTAATTTGTGATTTTTAATTTCTCAAAATTGCCACAGTTGTGTATTAGTTCATGTACAGAATTATTAAAAACCTTGTTACAACTTTCTGTGGTAAAAAAGGCGGCATGGCCAAGTGGTTAACGCATCAAACTCGTCATCAAATGATCGCTAGCCGATGTCACTGGCAAGTCGTTGTTTTCTTGAGCAAGAAACTTTACACTCATTGTTCAGGTTGGTTCCAGGAACGGATTCGAAAGTGTGTCTATTAGCTTATAGCTTCTTACAAAAATAAACTAAATTAAATTCTGTATATAAACCAAAAGTTCAGCTGAAACAACAGAGATTTCACAAAGGGGAATAAGCTAGTCACAATACATGCTAGAGTTATGGATCTTTGCCAGTGATCTTCAATTTTTATCCTTAGTACATGACTGTGTAAAGTTTCAAAACAATACGGACAGTTGTTAATAAGATGTAAAGCTACATGTGAAATGGTCTTTAAGCATTTCGCCAACCACAAAGCAAGGGTGAATAGAATTTCCCATAATGCTCCAAAAGCTGAGCTAAAATACTTAAAAGGACTCCACTAAGGCTTTTTGACATGAAGAGATTGGAAATATTTTGTTTTCCAGACTTTTGTACCATTTGATGTAGGTCTGGACTAATAATTTGTTAGAAAACAAGAAGGCCACGATGGCTCATATATCGCTCACCAGAATATAAATACTCTCCATGACAAGGAAAAGGTAATATTGTAAACTATAAACAAAAACAGATATAAAATCTAAATCTTAAACTGATATCACAAAGTTCATACTTGTATCTGGAATAGTGCACATGTAAAAACATTACTGGTTGCTTTTGCTAATGGAAAAAACAGTTACATAAGAAGTCACTGGTTGCTGTACAAGATAAATGGTTTCATTGGAATTCAGTGCTTGCTATGAAATTTAATGGTAGATGGTAGATAGATAATGCTTGCTATGGTAGCCCCTGGTTGCTATGAAATTTTACAGTTCTATAAAGTAAATGTCTGCTATGAAACTACTATAACTCGACCATAGCCTTTGTTACCGTATACTCAATCTTGAATTTCCTGTTACCATGGCAATGATTTAAGGGACATCTCAAAATTGCCAAAAACCACTATTTTTTTCATCAAAACTGATTTCAAAGTGCTGCAACTTCTCAATGGATTGAGATAGAGTTTAAGGCTTTTCAGCGTTGGTTACATGTTAAACATCAAACCTTTTAAACAGATGAATTTTTCTTATTGACCTCTTTTAGAACTCGGAACATAAAATCCATACTGGTTTCCAAGCAGTTACCAGGCTCTAGCAGTTTTCCGCTACTCTTTATCATTTTCGACCAGTACAGTATATTTTGACTGATAGAGTATATGTGTTACTTTATGAAATCAAAAGATGTTTGTTTTCAAGACAACACTGAAGTTAAAATAGTACAGTGGTTTATATATTTTGAAGTTCGGCCTGTTGTTCAAAGTTACCTTAGAGGACTTGCAACATATAGAAATAGGCGAAACTTAGATAATTCCAGTTTGTAAGCTTATGAGCAATAATTGAGTTCCACCTCTAAGATTCTTTAAATCAATATATTTGCAGACCACACAGAAAAGGTTGGACAATTATATTTCTTTGACATTGCTTACTACTGGTACGGACTTAAATTCAAAATGAAAAAAGGTCTGAAAAACTGCAATGAAATTTAAAATCAAAATTAATCACCACTAATTAGTAATTAAAGTTTGAAGAAAATTCCACAACATGTTTTCTTTGTTCTCAAAGATGAATAAATTGCGCATGCGCCACATTTACAATTTAATGACAAGAGTTTAAAACGGAATAGAAGTCATGAATTTCTACTTATTGAAGAGTAAGTATGCAGAATGAAACTGAAGATTTGACCATCTTGTTCATAAAAATTTTTATAAATAAAATTCAAAAATCTTTCAATGAATTTGAGAAAAGGTGTTAAATTTCAGGCCAATATTGTTAAATTTCAGCCCCATATATTCCTGTTAATAAGTATAGTTAAGGACATAAATGAAAGCCTGGTAATGCTGGAAAATTAGGTACCTTGAACTGTGTTCTGTCAAAGTGGGTACTCATCCTGTGACAGATTCTTATCTAATTTGTAAAAAATGGCGACTTTTTGTATTGAAAACTGCTAGGAAACCAGTATATTTTCAATAAATAAAATAAAAGTACTTAAATATTTTCACTTGCTTAATTTCTAAAATCTGAATCCTATATTTGTATAAGCCCAGTGACTTTTCTGCTTATATAACAGACTTCGATAAAAGGCCTCTTCCCAAATGAAATTTTCTTTAAAATCATGCAGTTTTCCCAAAAATCTGAACTCACAAGTTTATTTACTTACCAAATTAGCAATTATAGCAATAATTTTTCCCAAAATCAAGAGGCTAAGGTCCTTTCCCAATTAACTGAGAAAAATCACTGAAGACGTGCTTTGATAATGAGGTCTAATTAGAATATTCGATGGACAAACCCTCATATAAGTCGTATTAAAAACAGCAAAAGATACTCATAGCCAATCAAAGCTAATTAATTGAATTCTGACAAATAAATAATTTTGATATTGTAACAGCTCAATTTTGAATGTGTCCTAAATACAACAAAAAAAGGACACTACTTGCTTTGCCAGTAGTAAGATATTTTCTTCCGTGTTATATTGATTTAAATGTTAAACCAGCCCTATGTAAACACTTTATTATTTATATACCTTAAAGTTTAACAATTTTGTAGTGAATATGAATAAACTTTAGATAATGTTTCACCAGATAAAGTTAGACTTTGTGCAAGGAGGTATAAGGGCAGTTTTGATAAGTTAAACCCAAAGTAGGTCAAATCATTTAGACATTATTTAGCAATAGGAGAAGCTTTATATCAATGAAAAAAAAATGTAGAAATCTATATTTTTCCAGGTGTACAATGTAGAAGATTCATAAGGCTTTCAGTTCTCTTAATTATAGAGTTAAAATAACTGTGAAAGAAATAGGGACAATTTTATCGATTTTACAATGTAAATAGATCAACTAACAAACGTAGTCAGGGAAAAAGACAAAATGGCTACAGGTGGACAAATTGATACGGATATACTTTCGGATGAAATATTTGACGTATTATGTTCAATTTGTAGAAATGAAGGCAGGAACACTGAAGGTGAAAAATACTGTGTAGATTGTCACGATTATTTCTGTGTTAGTTGTGTCAAAGTTCACAGTAAAGTGCCTGTATTAGCTGGTCACAAGGTATTGGATAAATCTCAAGTTAAGTCGGGAACCAGTATAGGTCTGCAAAGGGCACCAGCAGAGAGATGTGACAGACACAGTCATAAACACATTGATATGTACTGTAAGAACCATGATAATGTTGGCTGTTCTACATGTATGGCAGTTGATCACAGGTAAACTATAGTATTTAAACAAAGATAATTTTAAGAAAGTATATGGAATATTTAGTATATTATGGAGGGCGTTCGTTGCCAAAATTCCAGACATGTAAACATGTGTTCCTTTTTAAAATGACTTTTGAAAATGCGAACTTGTATGCCTACCATTTTTATTGTAAACCTCTTAATTCAATCTTTTATTTGAAGGTTACCGCCTTTATATAACAAGTTTACATATATATCGTAACAACTGACCTAACATCTAAAACGACAACAAATTTACAAGTTCGTATCTTCCATTGCATGCAATACATATGCATGTTTGCACACTAAAAGATCTGAAATATACAAATGAAACGTAAAACTCGAATACGGAAAATAGAGTTTAAGAAAACGTGTTACCACTTGTAGAACTACAAGAGTACGTTAACACAGTAACATGTTTAAAATGACAAAAGTAGATTCACAAAGTTAAACGATTTTAAGTCAAGCATAACGCTCCGCCCCTCTCGGAGTATTTACGACCTTCTATTGCGGACAGGTATAAAACGGCGCCTCTCCCATATTTTTAAATAAAACTGAAGGACAACATACGGCATTTTTCATAAAATATATATGTTACATTTGTAACAAAAGTTTTGTCAGTAGCAACATCACTTGAAAATTGCTGATTTTACCATTTATGATGAAGATAACTTATGCATTACCTTATTTTTAACATCGTGTTCTTATCAGTTACAAATTATTTATCAATTTAGTGATTAGCCTGTCCGTGCTCTGCCTAGTGCCCTGTCCTGTGTTTTGTTTTGGGTCCGCCTTGGCTTCTTGCCACTTGTTCTTGTTGCTGGGTCATGTGGGGTTGCGTTCATTGAGCGCCGCCTTTCCTTGTTGATCTTGTTTATCATATATTCCTGAGAAACATCGGCGATTGGGAAATTTTTAGGGGAAACAATGACCAACTTCAAGGGAGTAATTTATTAATAATGTAAAAAACCACCCAATATTCTTATTGGTATCATTGAAAAATGTATTGGCACAAATTTCATTTTCAACAAAAACTATGCAAGTATATTTTAAAGCGGCCACCGAGATTTCCTTTCCGAAATCAAGAAAATACTTATCCGTAGCACATATGTACAATCTTTAATAAGGTATTTTCAGTATGAATAAAAACTTTTTGCACTTGTTTATTATCCCTCATGTACAGACTCAATCAAACCGAGTCTGCAATTCTTATGTAAGTTTGTAGTGATTAATGCTTCCGAGGGATCACTTTGTTTCCAGATTTTTATACTTCACAACAGCAGGTTTCAAGTGCCGTGAGGCAGCTGTAAAAGTTGCCCCGTACTTCACTTCAGTGTTGTTATATTTTTCTGGTCTTTCGGGATCATTGATGCCAGCGCTATTAAGTGTTGAGAATTGAGTACCGTTCAAGCTGGTGCTAGGGGGCGTGAGGCATGTTGCACTTGTTCATTATCCCTCATGTGCAGACTCAATCAAACCGAATCTGCAATTCTTATGTA